CAACAGAAAACTAAGGATGCTAGCTAGGTCCTCATTTAAGTCTCAATCAGCATATAAAACAACTCGAAAACTGATTAATTCGTCGATGTATTTACTCAAATACGGAAATATGATTACTTTTTATATTATAGCTGAATAAATTTTTCAGCACTGTTTTGATGAGAAAAATTCGTATGAGTGCTTCGATAGCATCCTTGATATCCCATTGAGCAATTTTGAGACTATTTTCAACAAAAATTTGAATTTCTTTGAATATAACAATAAAAAACTATGTAGCTATATAGAGTATCATGTGAAAAATGTTTCGTAATATTGCAGTTTTGTGGGTCAACATTTCAAATATCTTCCAGATCAATAAATTTGACTGCATCATGTAATGTTTCCTCGTTTATTCTTATCGGAATTATTGTAGACTGCCGCCATCGCCATCGATAGGAAAACTGCGCCTTCGTCCAGCACATAAAGACCAGTTAGTTCGAATAATGAGTTGAAAAAGTGATTGATTGTAGCCCCGTGGTCTGGATTCAGCCAGAAAACAGTGATGGGATTTAGAACGTAGATTGAAGAGTAGACGAATTGAGTGCCGACTAGTAAGCGCAGGTTTTTGTAAAAAGTTTCCGGGTTTGTCCAGATCTAAAAATAAAACAAGACTGCTCGTATCAGGGCGAATCCCTGAATGTTCCGACTGTCTTTTAAGGTTTATGGAGCAGCAGTAATAGCATAAAAAAATTAAATGAAATTAAATAAAATGCAATCTTTAAACCCTAATAACTCTACGAAAAATGATCACAGGTGAAATATCTTTTCAAATTTAAGCTTAGGACAACAATACCTTTTGAATGATATAAAAAAATTCCGTCAAAAATGGCTAGTTAAAAAGTCGAAATTTGTCTGAAGAAAAAAAACCCACCCCGAGCACAAATATTCCGTTACTTTCGTATCGAAAGTCGGAACAAAAATGGAGAATAAACAAATTACTCTAGTTTAAATTCCAGTTAATTTAAAAGAGCATCATACCATTTATATAATTTAGTTCATTTGGTAAGACCACTTTTCTTCAAGCGTGTTTTTAATCTAAATGAGAAACGACAAAAATTGAGGGATCCATGAGAACGCTTTTTCAATGACATCTCTATTAAAAACGGGGCTTTGAGACTAGCTTTTAAAATAAACTGCGATTGTTTTATTATAATGTTAACCTAATTAAGTGTTTGATTAAGTTTTCCTTAAGATATTTTCCTTAAGATATTTTCTGCAGAATTTTCAAACTTTGCTAAGCCATATATTGATGTATCATTCTTAGAGGTGGAATGACAAGGGTGTTTTCAAAAGATAAGTCTCCTTTATGAAAACGTAAAGTTCAAATTTTGTTGAAATTTATTTTAAAAAAACGAAAAAAAAGTTTTAGCATAAAGGAAGTGAAAAGTAGAAAATTTGGAACTAACGTCATGTTGTGTGAGGAACTCGTAAGTGAAGAATAGTTCCATTCCAGTTTGGGGAAACATGATGAGGTACAGGTAAACAAGGTAGATAATGAATGTTCTTCTGATTGATCGCACTTGGGCTGCGTCGTCTGAATTAGCAAGCTGGGTTGGAGTGACAAAGTTTATGTGGTTGATTATTTTTATGTACAGAGTGGTGATAATTGAGAGGGTCAAAATAACTAGTCCGAATTTCTCAAACGCGTTTATTTGCCACAGTTGCTGAAACGAAAATGAAATCTTACTTCAAATCAAACCATTATGACAATCAAAAAAGCAGTTTTATTGAATGCAGTTGTACTTTGTGAGCATTTTGGAAAACGAATCTTGTTAACTAATCCCTCCCACCATATCATAAATGATGGAAAGTCGCTCCAAGATACAAAGTCGTATGTGCAACCGTTGAATTATTCCTTTTAAAGGTGGAACTTTTAAAAGTATTATAGGCGGAGAAAATGCTAACGAAATCCAAAAAAATGACTGCATAAACTTTCCTTCTCAATCAGCTGGGCACTATGTGGCGCACCTGCAGTTAGCTTACCTTGAACATGTTGTAGTGTGCGTGTGACCTCTCAACCTTCTCTGCCAAACTGTCTCCTCCTAAGAGATTGAACCAACTCATTGGTAAGTGGCATGAGATCAACTGCTGCACGCTCATTTGGCCTAACGACACAGCAAGCAGAAGGGCCAAGTAGAAGTTTCTGCAACAAAGCGAGGTTCGAGCATGATATTGAAAACCCTTGGAAAAAGAGCAAATAGGAAAAACGAGTCTTGCGATTTCTGTGAATCGCTTCAAAGTAAAATAAACATTCTGTAATGTTTTTTTTCGAAAAAATTTAAGACCTATAAACACGTGTTCCCCATGTAGATTTTAGGGACATGGTTATATTTTTGTTCCGAAAGCAAGAGTTAGCACTAACGCATGGCTATTCCGGCAATTTACTCTCAATACCTCTGTTGTTCTCACTTTCGAAGAATCTGACCGCACATTTATACTTGAAATGGTTATGTTTTCATTCAAGCCGAACGCGACTTTTTTTAATCAACCAGTTCTTTAAAATCTGAAAAGTTTTGACGCCCTGCGAACAAAGATAAAATATGAAAAAGACAATTCACCTGTGATATTTTTCGTAAAATAATGGGGGTTGAAATATGTCCGAAACCATCCGAAAAAGACCAAAGTCTGTCCTTGCTGTTGTTATAGATATTTTAGATGCAAAAAATAAAAGAAAAAGTACTAACAATTTGGGCCTTGAGAACCACGTGTAGTAGTCTTGGGGTCTGCATATGGCCACGTATCTAGTCACTGCTATCAGCAACATCATCAAGTATGTAGTCCGACTGCCAAGAGTGTAGCCTAGAAAAAAGATCTACAGATTGCTGACATCTGTGATAAAATGTTCCTTTGTTACGGTTAATTCTACTTAGTTACAAATAAGATATGTTTAAAAAGTGAATTAATCTCTAAGTTAAAACATTAAAAAAGTGAACGGTCATTCTCTCCGTCGGAGAGAATGAAGATAGCAAGGTCAAATCAAGATTAACCAGTTAAGATACTTTAAAGTAATTAGTGAAATAAAACAAATGGTAAGAATCACAACATTCCCCTTAGTGGGAAAAAAAATTAAAGTACTAAGCGCCATGATACTTAACATGTTATCTAACCCTTTTTCTCCCTCTCGAGAAGTCCGACAAAATGAAAATTTAAATACTGCACGATGTAACAAAATGTAATTTTAGTGCTCCGAAGGAATTACTGGATTAGAAAGGATAATAAAATTCCTAAATCCGGCGGATTGTAATCCGTAGTTACAGCTAGGTAAGCTCTAATTGCACTTAGACGAAATAGAAGTACAAATTAAATGGCTAAATGCGAGTTTTAAAGTTTGATTGAGTTTAGCTGTCCCCTTCCATGAGTTTTTCTAGCTCGGCGTTGAAAATTTCACTATCTAAGTCGATGTAATTTTCAAAGCAGTTCACGGCATCTCTCAGAGAATCGTCGGTAGAGGCGATGGAGAATTGATCGGGAGATTGGGTGTATGCTAGATCCGGTGTACTGTCTTCCGGTAGTGTGTTGCAGATGTGGGTCTGATTATCCAAGGGATTCTCTCTGAATGTTTGTGTGGGGGAGCTCGAGTTGTCATCCTCGTCCAGAGATATAGGGTTAATAGCGGAGCCTGGTTGGTTTTCTAACTCATCTATAATATCTATGTAATATCGCTTACCATAGAATTGCGGGGGACCAACATTTCGACTTGAACGTCGTAAAATAAGTTCATTACCGGTGGTAGTAGTTTCCTTAGGTTGTCTTTCCTCGCTGGTTCCAATTTCATCGGAGGAGTCCTCTATCTCGAAAACTGGAAAATCGACCGGTTTTTCTCCTACCAATGGTTTTGTCAAATCCGAAGGAATGTTTGGGGTCTCCGTTGTCGTAGCCGTAGAAGGTTCGTCAGGTGGGTGTGAGGTAGTTTGAGGTGCTGGTTTTATACTAATTGGGCATTCCGCTGTGTCTGAGAGTTGAGGTTGTTCGTCTAAAATCTCAGGTTTTATATTAGTTTGATATGTTTTAGGGTCTAATGATGAGGTAGATTCTTTGTTAAAATTGTCGTTATCTGAAATGAAGCGTTTTCTTATCATTTCTCTACATGGAAAACCTCCCGCAATCCATTCCCAATCGCTAATGTCCGACGTATCCGACGGAATGAACATGGATTCGTCACCTGCTAAATATCCAGTATTCGACGTCGAGGCTTTATTTTGATTCTTCTTCGATTTGTTGGATTTTGAAGGCTGGTTCGTTCCTCTAGATCTGGTGGTGACCGGGGTGAACGACTCTGTGTGTCTTCCTGTCTTAGTGTCTGGTTTCCGCGTCTGTTGTGTCTTCGGTTTGTAAGACTTTCTTGGACCTAATTGTAAATCACCGTTAGAGAAAAAAGGAAAGGAGATATTTCCTTTGAATGAACGAATTGTAGAGGATTTAGACTTTGAAATGGCGATGTCCGACTTTGTAATAATTTTTCCGTCGGATAATTCAACCGTGGATTTTGTTGAGTTTATTATTATCTGGCCTAGTTGTTTATAGAAGGGGTTTCCGTTTATACTTCCGTTAGTTTTCCGTAGTAATTTACCTTAAACGGACTGTTTAAGGGCACTCGGGATGATGGAGGCTTTGAAGTAGTAGGAAGGTCTGAATCGTAGCCTTTCTCCAATGGTGACTGGTTCTTTTTCGGTATGAGGGAGTCTTTGTATCCGTCCTCTATCCGATCGTCAGCGTTCCAGTCGCGGGCCCTTTCTCTGCTTACGATCGACTTCCCTTTGTCTAAAAATCCACCGGATAAATTATTAGATGCCAATTGTTTCCAGATCGTGTTCGTTTTTCTATTAAAGTGTATTTCGAACGGTGATCAATTAATTTTAGATTAGAAGGATGATCGTAGATTCCAAATAATTTTCGAAATGGCGGTTTGTAATGTAGGTTTTTGTTGATCCAATGACATTGCTAATAATTTTATTTTTACAGTATGAACAAGTTTTTCTACAAGACCGTTAGAACGATTTTCTCCAACTGTACTAAATATTAGTTTGATATTAAGAGAAGTGCAAAATAATTTAAAATTCTGACTAGTAAAGCAGGATGCGTGGTCGACCCGAATAGATTTTGGAATCCCATGGAGATAAAAATAATCTTGAAGAAATTCGATTACTGTGTTTGATGACGTTGAAGATGTAATTTTTGCTGAAGGGAATTTAGAAAAACGATCTATACACAATAAGATGTATTTATTGTTTCCCCAGTTGTTATCTAGTGGGCCGGCAAAGTCAAGATTTATTTCCTCATTAGGTTCGAATAAGGTCGGAAGTTGTCTAATTTGTGTAGTTGGTATGATGCTTTTTATATCTTACCGGTTTGAGTGCATTGTGTGCAATTAATCCCGTGGAAGTAAATTTGTCGATATATGTGTGGCCACCAAATGTATTGTGCCAAGTATTTCATGCCGAATTGGCCAGGGTGAGATTCGTGTAAGGTTTTTAAAACGGCGTTTCTAAGTGTAAACGGAATAACCAATTTTGCATCCATATATAATAGTCCGTCGGATTCATGAAAGTCTTTCGAAAATTGGTGTAAGTAACGGGAATTTGAGTTGATGTTATCTACTTTTTTCTGTAGAGCTTTCACAATTGGGTTTAACAATTCATCATCTTTCGTTAATAAAGCGACCAATTTTGCATTGAATAATGTATTTAAATCCAAAGGTCTTTCAGGTAACTTGAGGTTTTCTCGGAATTTAGTTACTAACTTCTTGTGTTCTGACGAAATTTGAAAATCGATAGAGACCTGTATCCCGGAAGTGGAAAGATTTACTACAATTTGATTATTTGACATATTTACACTATTTATAAGTTGAGATCCGAAGGATTACTAATTAAGCTACTGTTAAGAATTAAAAAATAGATAAAGGCTGAATTTGATAGAAAAATTTTAGTAAAATCAGTGTTTGAGAAATCCGAAGGAATACATTTAGAGTTACAAAGTTCTGTTCTATAGTGTTTTTGATTGCAGATTGAAATGGAAGAGTTGACGAAATTCAATGCTGTAATTATTACGTGATTTCGTACTTTTGTGTAATGGGAATTTTGCGAAATCGAGTTAATTGAATTACGTAATGGATTTTCATTATCCAAAGGATTGAGTGCATTATATATTGTTTTGGTAGTAGCAACTACAAATTCTTCGTCGTAATGTGATGAGGGAATTGCTTTACCCGAAAGAGTTCTTGAAATTAAGTCTGTAAAACCCATATCTTTTCCCGCTAAATGTTTGATAGTAAAATTGAATGGTAGGAGACGATCTACCCATCTTGTCAATCGGCTATGGTATGTTTTGTTTCCGTGATTTGGTGACAAAGCGGAAAGGAGAGCTTTGTGGTCGGTGATAATTTCAAATTCAGAGCCGTAGAGATAATTTTTGTAATGTTCGACCGCCCATACGACTCCTAATAACTCTAATTCGTTTGTTGAATATTTGGATTCATGCGGATTTAAAAATCTTGAAGCAAATGACACTGTTTTCCAAACCTTCTCAAGAAGTTGTTCAAGGGATGCACCCAACCCATTATGTGAAGCATCTGTTTTTACTCTCGTGGGCTTTTTTACGTCAAAATGAGTGTTTTCGGTAAGGTTTACTATTTCAGATTTAATCTTGACAAAAGCTTTTGAGTGATCTTCATTCCAAAGGAAAATTGACTTCTTGTTTAAAAGAGGTCTAAGCGAGCTTCCGAGGGATGCTAAATTTGGTACAAATTTAATGTACTGATTAGTTGACCCGAAGAATGATCTTAGTTCTTTTAGATTCTTTGGGATTGGAATATCTTTAATTGCTTTGGTTTTATCGAATAGTGGGGCGATTCCGGATTTCAATATTTTAAAACCGAGCCATTCGATTTCCTTTTGGAAGAATTTGCACTTCGACCATTTAACTGCGAAATTGTAAGTGTCTAACGTTGATAAAATTTTATAAACGATTTTCTTGTGATCGTTAAAACTTCCTTTGGAAGCGACTAATATGTCGTCGAGGTAACAATTTGTAAAATGAATGTTTCCCAAAATTGAGTCCATGACTCTCTGAAACTCGTTTGGCATATCTCCGAGTCCGTAAAAACCCGTTAAAAATTGATAAGTGCCTGTTATATCTCCGCCGACTAGACTAAAATTGCATTGGCTGCTAGTAAAATTGTCCAGCGCAAGTTGACTATATGCGTTCTTTAGGTCTAGGTTTGTAAACCATACTTCTCTGACGGAATTGTTTGAAATTTGAGCCGCTACGTTATCAACTAATTCGTGTATATTAGGCATCTGATATTTGTTCTGGTAGATTTGTTTGTTGATAAATTTTGAATCTAGGGCTAGCTTTATCGATTTGTCTTTTTTACAAGTAATAACTATCGGACTAATAAATCTGTCCTCGTCACAGTTTTCTAAATTTTTGATGTGTCCTTCGGATTTAAGCCTGTATAATTCTGTTTTTACTGAATCCAGTAAGTGTAAAGGGACCCTCCTGCCTTTTAATTGAATTGGCTTTAATGGTTCATGAAAGTGTGTTATTTTTGTTAGATTTTTTATTTTTCCAGTCCGAAGGAATAGTTGTTTGAAGGTTTTACTTGGTTTTCATTTCCTAAGCCGATATTTAGTAGTTTCTTCAGTTCCTTTCCTTGATCGTCGTAGATAGTTGTTACGTTTAATACAGAGTAGTCATCGTTATCGCTATGTCCAGACTCTGACCATGCGTTGATTACTCCACAGCATTCTCTATTGGCGTGGTCAATATGTACATCTGGTTGTTCCGAAGGATAATGATGATCTGTATTATTTACAATTTGACTATCCACAATATTTACATTTTTACAGCGTGATTTACAGAGTCTAGTAAAATGTCCTCGATATTTACAAGTCGTACATGTTGTATCTTTAGCAGGGCAAACCGCTAGATGTCCTTTTGTAAAATTTCCGCCGCATTTCATACATGTGTTATTTCTTTCGATGTTTAGGGTGGGTTCTCTTTTTACATTAAAATGATTAAAAGATTTGTTGGAAGAATATCCGCTGGATTTAAAAGTATTCGTCATCTTGATGTGGTTTGTAATTCCTTTTTCGTCAATCAGGGCTACGTTTAAGGCTTCTAGTGGTGGTAAGGTTTCCGTGAGGAGTTTCCGTTGGATATCTGAATTCTTCATGTTATTAATAAAAATATCTCTAATCCATTCATCTTCTCCTGTGGGAATGTTACATCGTTTTGCCATTTCTGCCAGTGCCCCCCAGAATTGTTCTAATGATTCTCTGTCCCTCTGTTTTCTGTTTAGGAGTTTGTGTCTTTCGAAGGTTATGTTTGTTTTTCTCACAAAAGCTGTGGACAATTTTTCCCAAAATTCTTTGAAAGAAATTTGTAGAACTTTGACTCTCGTGAACTTTTGGCCAAATATTTTCTTTCCTTCGTTTCCGAGGGCTAGATAAAGTATGGATCTTAGTTTTTTGTCCGCCTCTTCCAGTCTCATGCCGTTGAATTTCTTGGTTTCTGACTTTATTGAGGCCATTTCTTCATCATCGAATCTCTTTTGTTCTTGAATATTCCTCTCGATGCGTGATGTTTTTTGAGCGTCCGAATCGTTTTCTGGTCAATTTTCCAATGTTGGGGGAGGTGGGTGATATCGTTCCGTTGGATTCAAAAGGTTTTCGATGTCGATATTCTCTTTCGCGATTATTGCTAGCTGGAAAAGATCGCTCCACTCTTCCCAAGGAATTGGTGGGTCCACTGTGTGGTTTTGCCAAAATGAAGGTATACCTCTCACGTTTGATTCGTTGCTGTTTGACTGCGCCATGATAAAATGTTCCTTTGTTACGGTTAATTCTACTTAGTTACAAATAAGATATGTTTAAAAAGCGAATTAATCTCTAAGTTAAAACTTTAAAAAAGTGAACTGTCATTCTCTCCGTCGGAGAGAATGAAGATAGCAAGGTCAAATCAAGATTAACCAGTTAAGATACTTTAAAGTAATTAGTGAAATAAAACAAATGGTAAGAATCACAACATTCCCCTTAGTGGGAAAAAAAATTAAAGTACTAAGCGCCATGATACCTAACATGTTATCTAACCCTTTTTCTCCCTCTCGAGAAGTCCGACAAAATGAAAATTTAAATACTGCACGGTGTAACAAAATGTAATTTTAGTGCTCCGAAGGAATTACTGGATTAGAAAGGATAATAAAATTCCTAAATCCGGCGGATTGTAATCCGTAGTTACAGCTAGGTAAGCTCTAATTGCACTTAGACGAAATAGAAGTACAAATTAAATGGCTAAATGCGAGTTTTAAAGTTTGATTGAGTTTAGCTGTCCCCTTCCATGAGTTTTTCTAGCTCGGCGTTGAAAATTTTACTATCTAAGTCGATGTAATTTTCAAAGCAGTTCACGGCATCTCTCAGAGAATCGTCGGTAGAGGCGATGGAGAATTGATCGGGAGATTGGGTGTATGCTAGATCCGGTGTACTGTCTTCCGGTAGTGTGTTGCAGATGTGGGTCTGATTATCCAAGGGATTCTCTCTGAATGTTTGTGTGGGGGAGCTCGAGTTGTCATCCTCGTCCAGAGATATAGGGTTAATAGCGGAGCCTGGTTGGTTTTCTAACTCATCTATAATATCTATGTAATATCGCTTACCATAGAATTGCGGGGGACCAACATTTCGACTTGAACGTCGTAAAATAAGTTCGTTACCGGTGGTAGTAGTTTCCTTAGGATGTCTTTCCTCGCTGGTTCCAATTTCATCGGAGGAGTCCTCTATCTCGAAAACTGGGAAATCGACCGGTTTTTCTCCTACCAATGGTTTTGTCAAATCCGAAGGAATGTTTGGGGTCTCCGTTGTCGTAGCCGTAGAAGGTTCGTCAGGTGGGTGTGAGGTAGTTTGAGGTGCTGGTTTTATACTAATTGGGCATTCCGCTGTGTCTGAGAGTTGAGGTTGTTCGTCGGAGAGAATGAAGATAGCAAGGTCAACTCAAGATTAACCAGTTAAGATACTTTAAAGTAATTAGTGAAATAAAACAAATGGTAAGAATCACAACAATCTGTCAGTCAATTCTGATGGCAAACGTGCAAAAGTGTTGTTTTAAGCGTTCATAAGATAGAAAAAAATGACAAAGTACTTTTTACTCCCAAACTTTACTTTCTTCCGCCTTCGCCTTCGCCTCCGCCTCCGCCTTCGCCTTCTTCCGCCTTCGCCTTTGCCTTCTGGATCGCTGACAGCCAATCAGCTTCATGATGATTGCGCCGGTTACGCACTCTCATTAGTCTTGCGTGTATCTTAACTTATTTCTGAGCCGTTTTCTTTCATTACCGTTAATATTATCCAGCCAAATTTTAGACGCGTAAGTTCAACTTCAGTCGCGGGTCTAATTTGGACACTGCTACAAAAATGAAGACTTCTTGTATAGTTTTAGATTAAAGTTCAGCTTTACTAAATTCGATAAAAAGTGCCAGAAAAACAATAATAATGCGAGCTGTAAGCTAATGTCCAATTTTCACTGATATCATCAAATTCGATTTGAAAAACGTATGTCATCATTAGCCAAACTGTAGTCATTAGTCGCAATCATTTCATTTCTTTTCAAAGCCTTTTCAAACTTTCAAAAACCGCCTCACCTGCGTAGATGAAAGTGCAGCTCACTTCCACTAATGAATTGTGCACGTTGGTGGGTTGATTGGCAAAGAGAGATGTGCCCACCATAAGCATCATGGCACTGACAAAGTCCAACACGCCCATGCTGGAAATGAGCACATCACTCTGGCTGAACATGGAGGAGTCTTTGAGGTACTTGAGAGCATACGCGCAACAGATGATGAAGTTGACCAGTGTCTGAAATTGACAACCTTTCAAAAAGCTGATAAAAAATTTCATAGTTTACCAAAATCAAACTTTATCGGTATTATTTCGAGTGGCAAGAAAGGGTGCCAGTGTCGATCAAAATAGTCGTGAAGAAATTTCTGGTAAATAGACTAGTTAGAAGGAAAAGTGGGTGAAATGAGCCGAGTAAAAAGACGATGAGGCAATCGCCCCATTAGAAAAGAGAAGTTAACAACTTTCAGTTCCATGATAGAGCGACCTGGGATCAGCAGATATGTGAAATTCAGGACTCTTCATCAGGCGAAAAAATCTCCGAATAGAAATGAAAATTAAAAATCAAAAACTTGAAGAAATGGCTGCGGTCCAACACTTTTGAGCAAAATAAAATTTTTATGCAACCGGTTTTGTTTGTGTGCATGATATCTAAACATGAGAGAAAAGGGCGGTGTAAACACTTGAAACCGCATCTTATAATCATTTAATGGCGAGCTACTATTAGGTTGGTGATCTTTTGAAAATGTTATGTTAATTATTTAGCTACGGCACTATATGTAGCTGTGGTACCGCAACTGCTACTGCTATTGCAGTAACTATGCAGTCCTCATATATTGGCCTTGATAGTGCTACTCACATCTGCTACTGCTATTGCAGTAACCAGATAGTCATCACATATTGGCCTTGATAGTGCTATACATATTGTTATCTGTAAATTATATAATCCTATTATAAAAAACCAAGGTCAAAGAATACGTGACCTTTTACAAATCTTAGAGAGTCAATCTCTCAGGCCTGTGGCTAAGAACACAGTTAGTAAGAAACTAACAAACAGAAAAACAAACGGTTTCAACATGGTTAATTAAACTCTTCGAAACCACTTCAGTTTTCACTATACAACCTCAGAGGTATTGTTAGTTACCACATGGCGCAGTCAGCAGGATCCGGTTTTACTGCTCAGGATAATAGGACTGATCTAGGAATCCCAGTATTTTGGGCATCCGCAAATTCAGACCCACCTTGGAGTTTTGAAATGTGGCTTGACCAGTTCCTATTAGCTGTTACAGTTAAAGAGAATGTGGATCCAGAAACAATGTTACAAGAACCCAAACCGGTATTAGAAGAACCTTTACCAACTCCTGAAACACCAGCACAAAACGAGGATGAGATTGCGGCGACAGAAAGAGAAGCTCGGAACAGTTTGGCTCGAGATAGAGTGGTTCAAGAAAATGAAGAACGGACACTAAGAGGACCTAGAGTGGGACACAATGTATTCTATCACGAAGTGGGCAAACGGCAAACATCGAGATTATTCCTCGCCTTAGGAGCAGAAGGGAAGAAAAAATTTATCCAAAAGAACCCTCACACAGAAATATCCAAACTAGGGTTTCGCGATATAATTCGATTAGCAAAACTCTCATTTGAGAAAACGAAATGTATTACCTATGAGAGATACAAACTGTTCACACGATCCCACGAATCAAATGAAACGTTGGAATCTTTTCATGCCGCACTGACTGCACAAGCAGCAAAGGCTGAATTGGGAGCGTTGGAAGAAGAATTGGTACGAGATTTATTCATCTCAAGAATGAAAAATGCTGTCCTCCAAGACACATTGACTTTCGAAACATTCTCTCCAGAAGAAGTGTTAAAACGTGCACTAAAGTTTGAATATAGCAAACAAACCACACAAGCATTCCAAAAATCTTCAAGCACAAACAGCTCAGGACTGTTTACAACTCCACAAATGAAGATTAAACAAGAACCAATTATGGCAATCGGAAACAAAGGGTATAACCCTAGACGTCAAAATCAAAACAGAAGAAAACAGTACGAAAACAAACCTCCAAAAGGTAAAGGAGATCAAAAACAATGTACGAGATGCGGTAGAGCATTTGTAGAGAATCATTTGAAAAATTGTCCGGCAATGGGCAAAACATGTAAAAATTGTAACAAACCTAATCACTTCGCTAAAATGTGTAGGTCTCAACAAATTAACGAAATCGCAAATGAAGATTCGAGTTCGGGGGAAGAGTGCAACCTAATACAGACATTCGATTCATGTGATGAGTTTGAAATCATGTCAGTAGAGGAAGATTGCACTTCCATCATGGACATAGAAAATTACATCACAAAAAGGATTTCGGAAAATGCGTACAATAACGAAAGAAGTCAGAAAGAAGCATTGCCGGAAAGGTCGGGTAACATTGAAAAGATTGAAATTCGCAGAAATCCCAAATCGCATCAAATTAAAGCACTTAAAGCTTTGGTTAAGATTGATAGTCATATTTTGAATATGACTATAGATACTGGCAGTCCAGTATCACTCCTGAATTGGGCAACAACGAAACAAATTCTGGAAGGACCTTCAAATTCAAAATTTATTCCGGCAGAAAAGCTGAACCTGTCCGCGCAGTTTGTGGATTATAATAAACGACCTATTCTAATATTAGGAGCGTTAAAGGCCAATCTACGTTGGGAAGTGTTGGGAGCGATGTTACTGGTCACAGAGAGACGTATGCGATGCATATTAGGTTTAGATCTTCAAAGTAAACTAGGAATTCAAACCACGCAAAAATCGGCTCCAACACGAAGATCCAGGTTTGATGTGCTACTGTGCGAACAGTCAGATAGTTGGAAGATTTCCTTTTATAAGAAGTTCAAAGATCTATTCGATAGACAAGGGGAATCAAAAAATCACATGGTGAGTACAAAATTTAAATATCCTCTGTGCCCGATTCAAGAGAAAGGTAGGAGAATTCCTATACACATTCAGGATAAAGTTCAAACAGAACTAGACAAGCTGCTCACAGAGGGACACATTGAAAAACTAGACAAATGCACAAGCGATTGTTTTATTGCCCCAATTGTTATCACAGTAAAAAAAGACAATTCTATTAAATTAGCCTTGGACGCCAAACCCATTAATAGACAGTTGTACAAAAATAAATACCAGATGCCTAATGTGGATGAACTGATTGATGGGGTTAGCCAGATCATCACATCAGCATCAGAAGGCTCTCTCTTTTTCACCGTGTTAGACCTGAAATATGCCTATAGTCAGATAAAACTAACTGCGGAAACAGCAAAACAATGCAACTTCAATATAATAGGGGGTAATGCAACGGGTACATACAGATTTCTGACAGGTTTTTACGGGCTGGCAGATATGCCAGCCGAATTCCAAAAAGCGATGGACAGAACACTAAACCACGCAAAAAATACCTTTTGTTTCTTGGATGATATTCTAATTGTTTCAAAGGGGGAAGCTAAAGAGCATGAGAAATTAGTACACAATGTGTTGCAAAAGTTGGACGACGAAAATCTCGCATTAAAAATTTCGAAATGCGAATTCTTGCACCCTGCGGTGAACTGGTTAGGTCATAACTTGTCGATACATGGCATAATTCCAAAAGTTACTAAAACTGAGGCAATTGCAAACCTTCAACCCCCCAAATCATTAAAGCAACTCAGATCGTTCATGGGTAGCATCAACCACTTAGCGAAATTTATCCCAAACGCGGCTAGTTTAACTGAAAAACTTAGACCACTACTGAAAGAAGAAAATGAAAAAAAGAAAATGAAAAATGTCCGGTTAACAGTTAAAAAATTTGAGTGGAACGATCAACACTCAGTAGTCTTTGAGGACATAAAAAAGGCAGTTGCTAAAATAGCCTTGTTAAACTATTACGATCCAGCAAAGCAATCTAGAGTAAAATGCGATGCAAGTCATAGTGGGCTAGGGGCTACTTTAGAACAATGGTCTCATCAGAACGATTGGATACCGATCGCATTCGCTTCCCGGTATTTAAATGCTCAAGAAAAAAAATATTCTACCAATGAACTTGAGCTATTAGCAGTAATTTGGGCGGTAGATCGCTTCAAACATTATCTACTAGGGAAAGAATTTGTCATAGCAACTGACCACAAGGCATTGACATCAGCTTTGGGGAACATAGATCAAACAAAACGTATCAATCTCGTTTGACCAGGTGGGTTGACCGATTACTGCCCTTCCAATTTAAAATTACTCATATTCCCGGAAGGGATATGGGTATCGTTGACTACTTGTCAAGAGAACCTAATGGAGAACCGTGGCCAGAATCGGAACTGGATGAGAGATTCGTAGTAACGTCTATAGAAAGTTTCCATAAAGCACTCGACTGTTTAAACAGTCGGTCTAGTGAAACAAACCAAAGTAGCACTATAAACATTCCAGAACATTCTAGAACACCAAGAGAAATTAACTACTGTAAAGACAGCTCATCACGCGGTTGCTATGACAACCAGTTTGTTCAAAACCGGACAAAGCTCGACCGGAACGAAAACGGTCAAAACTCAAGTTTTCAAACAGTTGAGAAGCACAAAAACACATTGGACAGAATAGCTCGTGAGAAACAGTTGGTCGATATTTCAAAATTCAAAGATAAATTAAACTCCAAACAATTAGAATCCAAGGAAACGGCGTCATCGAAAGAAATGGAAAGAAGCGAAACAGGAAAATCCAAGAAAACGAAAAATAAACAGAACGGAAATCAGAGGGAGGACGATCAACTAACCGAACAAGTAACAGAAACCACCTTCTCTCGAACACGCATGGTAAAGAGAGGTGCTGCATGCAGTCGACAAGAGTCAGACGATTCTGATTCAGATATACCACAAGTTGAGTGGAGACCAGTGAGAAAGACGATAAAGCCTAGAGGACTTAAAGAAATACAATCTGGAAATGTGACAGGAAGTAGTGGAACAACTCTGATGTCATTTTGGGACCTCCTAGGGGCAGAAAGACCAGATAATCCAAAAAGTCTAGTAGAATTAGAGGCACGGACAGCCTTGGTCGATTGTAATAGAGGTGACCAGTCATCACAATTAAATACCCGAAGTGAATTCCCCCAAATTATTGAAGTGGACCTAACAGCCGAGAGCCCTTCGGAAAGCCCAGAAGTCAGCATGATTAAAAAGGAAAAGACATGTCACGATTCCAGGAAAGGCAAACCAGATCAAAATAACGTGCGTACAGATATCAGTCTGGACAATCTCAACAAACTATTTGATAGAAGCCTATTAGCGGAGCTGATATCAGAAGACGCCTGGATGGACAAACTGCGGCGGGTCATTGAGAGGAACGATCGATACAGCTTCGAGCTGATGGGCCCATATACCAACCCTCTCTGGCACCAACTCTCAGTTGTTGACGACTGCATCCTGGTTGACAACAGATTAGCTGTCCCGGAACAATTGCGCTTGGCAGTCCTAAAGAGGATTCACCGCGGTCACCCAGGCCAGGAAGCGATGCTAGATGTGTCAAAATACCTGTGGTGGCCGCACATGCACAAGGATATCGTCAACCTTGCAGAGGAATGCAGAAGTTGCACCCGCTATGGTAAGAATGCAAAATACATCATACCAAAAAATGCTACGAAGCCTCTGCCACTGCTCACGCAGCCAGGTCAAGAAATTCAGTTAGACTATGCTGGCCCGCTTGAAGATTTCAAAGGAAAAAAAATTTATCTGTTGGTAGCAATAGATAGGTATTCTAAATTTCCTTCAGTAAAAATCACTAAATCAACAGGGGGCAAGTCGTCAATAAAATTTCTTCGCTCATATATTGATATACATGGAATACCTGAATCAATTAGAACGGATCAATTTTCCGGGTTCAAGGGCAAAGCAATGAAAAAATTTTGCTCCGACAATAACATCGAACAAAAATTTTGTCCAGTTGGCGACCATCGCGGATGCGGTTTAGTAGAACGCACTATACAAACCATCAAGAGAAGGTTGGGAGTAATGCTAATCGATGAAAACGTAACATCGATAAAATTATGCTTGAGTACGATACTTCGTGACCTTCGTTGGAGTAAACAGAAGACAATTAAAATGTCGCCATTTGAGGCGCACTTTGGGCGATTGCCAGAAACAGAATTTAAAATTCTCAGTGATAGGTTCTTACAAAACTCTGATCGTTTAGATAAGGAACATCTGGAGCGCTCCGCCTTGACGGCTTCGCAACTCAAAAAGAGAATCGACCAGTCTCGTGACAACTTAAAGATTGTCCGGAAAGGACAAAACAGCCGAGATGTGAGTCCATTATTCAAAGAGCAAGTCGACTCGGCAAAGGATCGGGAAAGAGCGCGGGCCCTAAAAGAGCTTCTGGAAGCCAATGCAAGATGGAACCAGACTCGACGTGATACTTCGGCCAACGATCTAAAACGTACAGTGGATGAGACAAGTACCATTAACCCCGAGCTACGCAAAGAAATGCTATATTCGTGGGAGCGGGGGTTCGTTGAAGATAAGCCGGAGGCCATTTCACAGCAACGTCAGTCGTCACCAATCCTGATACGAAAGGACTAGGGGAGGAAGAGCGGTAAGGCCCTCACGAAACCTCTGAAGGGAAGGGTCGTGGCCGAAACGCCCTCCACAATTAAGACAGCTGCAGGGTCCGTTTACCGGAAAAGCGATATTGCGAAGGTTAAGGTTGCTGTTCAAAACAAGGAGAAAAGCAACAACAGACGATCCCCAACGGGAGAAGAGCCTAAGAAAAAACAACAGAGGCAATCGAGGCGACAATCAGACGAACAAGATGAGGCTGAATTGAGTCAGTCGGATGAAGACTTATTGCTAGAGCAGCCAGGTGCAGCTAAGGAAAAATTTCAGGACAGCCCAACGGTGATCACTTCAAAAGACACTCTGCAAGGCGGTGGACTGAATTTGGCGGTACGAAGAGCGAAGCCGAACTTGGCTGGACCATTCTCGAAAACAACTAAGGCTAAAGTGGGCCCAATCTCGACGAAAGACGCACAACAAGTCATATTACAGAATAGAAGTGCTGCGTTAGCAGCAGAAGTGAACGAACCGCAGGCGCCAGATCACGCATGTTCGTCGAATACTATAAAAAACAAGAAAGAAATTACACGCACTACATCTCCTGAAACAATCCTCGACACTTTCAATAGTAAGGACCTATCGGCGAATGACTGGAATCGGTTAGCGGATCAAGTACTTGAACGAGGAGTTCAGCGCGCGGCGGCAGAGATACTGCAATCCAGAGAGGATGCGGAAGACGACGAGGAATTGATGAATCCTCCGGGGTTTTCTGATGAATCCGAACTTGAGGAAACATCAGTGCGGAAAAGCGGAAGAACTAAAAAGGGACCATCCAGATACGGAAACCCGATTAAGCATTCGGTGAAATCAATCTCGTTTCAGAATAACCTATTAGACTTAAACCAAGCCGCGCTCGAAGCATATAGAATCAAGCTTGCAAATTTTAAACCCGGTGCTTCTAATTCGGTGGAGAAAAAATTTGGTCTGCTGGAGAAACATCTTTTTAGGAGAAAGTTTGGCAGCGAGGCTCTAGATATAACCCGTTCATGGAACGCCGAGTGGCGAATCCCTTTACAGTTAGAAGAGGAACACGAAGAGAGAGATGGAAAATGAGTAATCTAATACACAAAGCCAAAACTTCTTAAACTGAGTTCTAAAACTCCTATTCATTATTATTTAAAATTTTAATAACATATTATAAAAATTTTCTTGATCGAGGGGGTATGTGGTACCGCAACTGCTACTGCTATTGCAGTAACTATGCAGTCCTCATATATTGGCCTTGATAGTGCTACTCACATCTGCTACTGCTATCGCAGTAACCAGATAGTCATCACATATTGGCCTTGATAGTGCTATACATATTGTTATCTGTAAATTATATAATCCTATTATAAAAAACCAAGGTCAAAGAATACGTGACCTTTTACAAATCTTAGAGAGTCAATCTCTCAGGCCTGTGGCTAAGAACACAGTCAGTAAGAAACTAACAAACAGAAAAACAAACGGTTTCAACATGGTTAATTAAACTCTTCGAAACCACTTCAGTTTTCACTATACAACCTCAGAGGTATTGTTAGTTACCACAGTAGCTATATAATTTCAAGGTTATATGAGCACCCACCCCGAATGCGCCCGAGATGATGACTAGGTACAGGAGTACATTGAGTGTGTTGCAGGTGTGTTGGTCCATGATGGGGATCTGAATGTGGTACTTCATCTCCAGAATCTCATCCCACTGCTCCACTCTCTCCATGAATGACGCATTCTGCAGGTCGTCACAGTACCAGTAGTCGGGAGTTATCATTATCATAAGTTATAACTAGGATTGCATATAACTAGTACAAACTAAACCAAAATGTTCACCGAGTAGAAATGTCAATTAAAGAAGCAAACTCTTTGATTTTTTTTATGATCGACTTTTTCAAACGATATTTTGACAAAGATACGAGCTGATGCAACAAAATTGTTAGTTTTTAGCAGAGTCAGGCGCAAATTATTGTCATGAGAATTTGAAGCCAGGGTAATTGTTTTCGATGACCAAAACAATTTCTGATCGCCTGTAAACTTACGTTTGTTTTGAAATTTGATATAATGAATATCTTTAAAATGTTTCTCAGCAGTTAGTTCGGAAATTTATTTTGGTTTAAGCATTTGACTATCCATTCATATTCTTTTAAATGTCATTATAAACAAATAATACCTTTGAATCCGATAGAAAAAAAGCGTATTTGATTTGATTAAAGGGCGTCTTTTGAAGTAGTTGTTGTTTTTTTTCAATAAATGGTGACTAAATAATCTTTATCGGGTCAGAATTATTCATCTCGCGCTGATCGAACTTTGAACAGTTATTTGAGGGCCATATCATCTTCAATTGTCAGTCCCATTGTTTGTCATTTCACAAAACTGAAACAAACTCGAACCATAATGTCCAAATAACTCTGCAAAATCATAAAAAATTTCAACTTCAAATAAAATTAAAATTAAAGAGATCCAAAGAATGCCAAGGAAAAATATCTTTCTGATTCTTTTGATTTTACAATTAAATGTTTTGATGATGCTATGTAAGAAATTGCTAAAACTGCTCAACTTTTCCGACTTTAAATCAACATTATCAAAATTGAATTTTTTTTATAAATGAGTACAAAGTCAATTTTAAAACATCCTGTTCTGTCTAAGATTCTCAGGTATGGACCTTTTTATCTTGTACATTTTTGAAACAATGACTGAAAATTTTTGACGAGATTTGTTTTATCATCTGAAAAAATTGACGCTTATAACAAAAAAGATACTTCACTTGCAATACGTTTCCTGGATGTTATAAAATTGGCAATAACGGGCAGTTAACGGGCGGAAAAACTCCATTTTTTTCCTCTAAATATTGAGGAGAAAGTCAATTTGTTCCGGCTCCAAATTGAATTAAGGCAACTAATTGATCAATATATTCCAAAAAGAACCTCAGAGAGCTAAGAGCGCAGTCTAAGCGTTCAACAACCTTGTCCCTGATACGAACAGTCTTGTTTATAAACCAAAAACAATGATTTTTTTTCAAAAATGATAGTTTTTGCATCTTTTCAGATCCAGTTGTAGCAAAGTGTTTGGTCCATGAGCAATTTAGCGAGAAGATTGTGCTTGGAAAAGGGTATTTAAAAATTTTCGTACGAACTTTTAAATCACTGACGAGCAAAACTGCAAATTTAACCGGGTCATTGTCAATAGTTTTTCAAGTTAAGGTGGCCACAATAACGTTTGGTGACCAGAATCAACCAGATATAAGTTTTGCAATAGCTTCACAGCTAGATTTGATAAATGGATTGTAATTGTGCTCAACTTTCTTGCGTGTTTGGCGTCACAGTTGGGTGGAATAAGTAGTTATGATAAAAAACGGAGTAAACTGTGCCGACTGTTAAAACTGATAGTTAGACGCAAAAAAGACGCAATTCATTCTCAACCGAGCTCACTACTACACAGCAAATTAGACAAGGCTAAAAGCGGTCAACTTTTACAATCTGAATTAATGGAACAAAACCAATTGAAGCCCTTATTGTTTCCCTGGCAATTGAATGGCCATCACTCAGATTCAGTTTCACAAAGAAGCAGGGAATCTGAAAACCTGTAATATGTGATGAAAACGTAAGTTCAATAGGTTCTACCTCCAACCTGAACCAGGCAAGCGCCACACAAGAACTTCAAATGGCCCCCAAGGTCCCCAACAATTTGAAAAATGAGTGTTTTTTAATTTAAAGTTTTCCACAAAAAAAAAACAAATTGACCGAGAAGAGTGAAATTAAACAAGATTTAAAATCACTTAGGTTAATATTTAGATTGCTTAATGAAATCACTGGTGTCGCACAAATGCTAGCAGTAGTTGCTCAAATTCTCGCACGCTTTTGGCAACTGCGCTTTTTGTTTATTCAATCTATCAAATAAAATTTGATAAAAACCGTTTATGCAGTCTATCAAACAAAATTTCAATTATACAATAGAGTTTAATACAATTTTTATCCTCCAAATTTCATTGCAAAATTGAAAAGGTTGAAATTGTTTTAATTTCAAGACTCGCTTCTGATTGACATTTATGGAAAGCCGAAAAAAAATGTTCTCGGAGTGCCTAAAAACTTTTCGTTTTCGGATAGCCTTAATCTTTTTTTCTTCCCTGATAGCCAAAAAAATGTCTATTCGTTCAAAACAAAAATCAACTGCTACAAAAAAACATTTTATATCAATTAAAAAATATGTTTTCTGTCATTATAGCCCCTACCGTCAGGTAAATTATAGACCCTCATACTCTGCAAGAAGAATTGCTTTTAATCAATCGAATATTCGCCTTACTTTTTTTCGATCAAACCAATTTACGCTATCATCTCTAAGCGATACAATGATCAATTTTTGACAATTTTTTGTCAGAGTCAATTGAATTGCTGTTTTGTCCCTTTTTTGACGGGTGCTCCCCGCTTTTTTCTCCAAACACTCTTTTAATACTGCAGTAATTCAGTTATTTACTTGATAGCCAAAATCAAAAAAAATCCCGGATAGATGGAAAAAAAATATAATCGGATATCCGGAAAAACCATTGCATATTAAATTAACACATTTTTGCCATACAATTTTGTGAGAGCAAAGTTATTAGATAGCAAAACCGTTTTTTTATACTTTTTGTTAGCTTTGTTTCGAAAAAAATATATGATTTAGTCGTTCAAATGAAAATAGTTCAAATTTTGTGCCGAATTTGATTTTTTAAGAAATTGATTTAGTTTGTAAATAAAAAATCAGATCGTGAATGTCCCGAATGTCGTTAAGAATGTTTGAAGCAAAATTTTGGCAATCAAATTCGCTGAAATATGTTTTGTGCTCAAGAAATTTATATCTTTCAGGCTTAATAGATAAATTTTGGCAAAAATATCCAGTGAAAAACTTGCTATTTTTTTTTAAAGAAATTCCATCCGAACCGAAAGAATCTGCTTCTTTCGGAACAATAACAATCAACACGGCCAATATAAAAATAATTCACTTCTGTCAGGGGCGGATCTAGGATTTTCTCGAGGGGGGGCGGATTTTCAAAAAAAATCGAAAATTTTGACGACCTTTTTTTTTTTTTAGGTGGACCAAATTGATTTTTCGAGCTCTCCCAAAGCACTTTTTTGCCCCCATTTCGGCAAAATTTTCTGCGCCGCAGGCAAATTTTTGAAAAAACAGTCAAAAAAGCCGTTTTTGGGCACTTTTTGAAAAATTTTGACAAAAAAATCGCGTTTTTTTTGGCGCGCGCTCCCCCTCAAAGTTAGTATATATTGGCGCCAAAGGCGCCTTAGAAAAATTTTAGGGTCATTCGGCCAAAAATGGATTTCTGAAAAAGTATCAAAGGGGGGACTGTATAATTTAGTTCATTTGGTAAGACCACTTTTCTTCAAGCGTGTTTTTAATCTAAATGAGAAACGACTATAATTGCGGGATCCATGAGAACGCTTTTTCAATGACATCTCTATTAAAAACGGGTCTTTGAGACTAGCTTTTAAAATAACTGCGATTGTTTTATTATAATGTTAACCTAATTAAGTGTTTGATTAAGTTTTCCTTAAGATATTTTCCTTAAGATATCTTCTGCTGAATTTTCAAACTTTGCTGAGCCATATATTGATGTATCATTCTTAGAGGTGGAATGGCAAGGGTGTTTTCAAAAGAAAAGTCTCCTTTATGAAAACGTAAAGTTCAAGTTTTGTTGAAATTTGTTTAAAAAAAACGAAAAAAAGTTTTAACATAAAGGAAGTGAAAAGTAGAAAATTTGGAACTAACGTCATGTTGTGTGAGGAACTCGTAAGTGAAGAATAGTTCCATTCCAGTTTGGGGAAACATGATGAGGTACAGGTAAACAAGGTAGATAATAAATGTTCTTCTGATTGATCGCATTTGGGCTGCGTCGTCTGAATTAGCAAGCTGGGTTGGAGTGACAAAGTTTATGTGGTTGATTATTTTTATGTACAGAGTGGTGATAATTGAGAGGGTCAAAATAACAAGTCCGAATTTCTCAAACGCGTTTATTTGCCACAGTTGCTGAAACGAAAATGAAATCTTACTTCAAACCAAACCATTATGACAATCAAAAAAGCAGTTTTATTGAATGCAGGTGTACTTTGTGAGCATTTTGGAAAACGAATCTTGTTAACTAACCCCTCCAACCATATCATAAATGATGGAAACTCGCTCCAAGATACAAAGTCGTATGTGCAACCGTTGAATTATTCCATTTAAAGGTGGAACTTATAAAACTATTATAGGCGGAGAAAATGCTAACGAGATCCAAAAAAAATGTCTGCATAAACTTTCGTTCTCAATCAGCTGGACACTATGTGGCGCACTTGCAGTTAGCTTACCTTGAACATGTTATAGTGGGCGTGCGACCTCTCCACCTTCTCTGCCAAACTGTCTCCTCCTAAGAGATTGAACCAACTCATTGGTAAGTGGCATGAGACCAACTGCTGCACGCTCATTTGGCCTAACGACACAGCAAGCAGAAGGGCCAAGTAGAAGTTCCTGCAATAAAGCGAGGTTCGAGCATGATATTTAAAACCCTTGGAAAAAGAGCAAATAAGAAAAACGAGTCCCGCGATTTCTGTGAATCGCTTCAAAGTAAAATGAACATTCTGTAATGTTTTTTCGAAAAAATTTAAGACCTATAAACACGTGTTCCCCATGTAGATTTTAGGGACATGGTTATGTTTTTGTTCCGAAAGAAAGAGTTAGCACTAACGCATGGCTATTCCGGCAATTTACTCTCAATACCTCTGTTGTTCTCACTTTCGAAGAATCTGACCGCACATTTATACTTGAAATGGTTTTGTTTTCATTCAAGCCGAACTCGACTTTTTTTAATCAACCACTTCTTTAAATTCTGAAAAGTTTTGACGCCCTGCGAACAAAGATAAAATATGAAAAAGACAATTCACCTGTGATATTTTTTGTAACATAATGGGGGTTGAAATATGTCCGAAACCATCCGAAAAAGACCAAATCTGTCCTTGCTGTTGTTATAGATATTTTAGATGCAAAAAACAAAAGAAAAATGACTAACAATTTGGGCCTTGAGAACCACGTGTAGTAGTCTTGGGGTCTGCATAAGGCCACGTATCTAGTCACAGCTATCAGCAACATCATCAAGTATGTAGTCCGACTGCCAAGAGTGTAGCCTAGAAAAAAGATCTACAGATTGCTGACATCTGTCAGTCAATTCTGATGGCAAACGGGCAAACGTGTTGTTTTAAGCGTTCATAAGAAAGAAAAAAATGAAAAAATACTTTTTACTCCCAAATTTTACTTTCTTCCGCATTCGCCTTCTGGTAATGATCGCTGACAACCAATCAGCTTCATGATGATTGCGCCGGTTACGCACTCTCATTAGTCTTGCGTGTATCTTAACTTATTTCTGAGCCGTTTTCTTTCATTACCGTTAATATTATCCAGCCAAATTTTAGACGCGTAAGTTCAACTTCAGTCGCGGGTCTAATTTGGACACTGTTACAGAAATGAAGACTTCTTGTATAGTTTTAGATTACAGTTCAGCTTTACTAAATTCGATAGAAAGTGCCAGAAAAAAAATAATAATGAGAGCTGTAAGCTTATGAACAATTTTCACTGACATCATCAAATTCGATTTGAAAAACTTATGTCATCATTAGCCAAACTGTAGTCATTAGTCGCAATCATTTCATTTCTTTTTTAAGTTTCAAAAACCGCCTCACCTGCGTAGATGAAAGTGCAGCTCACTTCCACTAATGAATTGTGCACGTTGGTGGGTTGATTGGCAAAGAGAGATGTGCCCACCATAAGCATCATGGCACTGACAAAGTCCAACACGCCCATGCTGGAAATGAGCACATCACTCTGGCTGAACATGGAGGAGTCTTTGAGGTACTTGAGAGCATACGCGCAACAGATGATGAAGTTGACCAGTGTCTGAAATTGACAACCTTTCAAAAAGCTGATAAAAAATTTCATAGTTTACCAAAATCAAACTTTATCGGCATTATTTCGAGTGGCAAGAAAGGGTGCCAGTGTCGAGCAAAAAAGTCGTGATGAAATTTCTGGTTAATAGACTATAGTTAGAAGGAAAAGTGGGTGAAATGAGCCGAGTAAAAAGACTATGAGGCAATCGCCCCATTAGAAAAGAGAAGTTAACAACTTTCAGTTCCATGATAGAGCGACCTGCGATCAGCAGATATGTGAAATTCAGGATTCTTCATCAGGCGAAAAAATCTCCGAATAGAAACGAAAATTGAAAATCAAAAACTTGAATAAATGGCTGCAGTCCAAAACTTTTGAGCAAAATAAAATTTTTATGCAACCGGTTTTGTTTGTGTGCATGATATCTAAACATGAGAGAAAAGGGCGGTGTAAACACTTGAAACCGCATCTTAGAATCATTTAATGGCGAGCTACTATTAGGTTGGTGATCTTTTGAAAATGTTATGTTAATTATTTAGCTACGGCACAATATGTAGCTATATAATTTCTAGGTTATATGAGCACTCACCCCGAATGCGCCCGAGATGATGACTAGGTACAGGAGTACATTGAGTGTGTTGCAGGTGTGTTCGTCCATGATGGGGATCTGAATGTGGTACTTCATCTCCAGAATCTCATCCCACTGCTCCACTCTCTCCATGAATGACGCATTCTGCAGGTCGTCACAGTACCAGTAGTCGGGAGTTATCATTATCATAAGTTATAACTAGGATTGCATATAACTAGTACAAACTAAACCAAAATTTTCACGGAGTAGAAATGTCAATTAAAGAAGCAAACTCTTTGATTTTTTTTATGATCGATTTTTTCAAACGATTTTTTGACAAAGATACGAGCTGATGCAACAAAATTAGTGCATGTTAGTTTTTAGCAGAGTCAGGCGCAAATTATTGTCATGAGAATTTGAAGCCAGGGTAATTGTTTTCGATGACCAAAACAATTTCTGATCGCCTGTAAACCTACGTTTGTTTTGAAATTTGATATAATGAATATCTTTAAAATGTTTCTCAGCAGTTAGTTCGGAAATTTATTTTGGTTTAAGCATTTGACTATCCATTCATATTCTTTTAAATGTCATTATAAACAAATAATACCTTTGAATCCGATAGAAAAAAGCGTATTTGATTTGATTAAAGGGCGTCTTTTGAAGTAGTTGTTGTTTTTTTTCAATAAATGGTGACTAAATAATCTTTATCGGGTCAGAATTATTCATCTCGCGCGGATCGAACTTTGAACAGTTATTTGAGGGCCATATCATCTTCAATTGTCAGTCCCATTGTTTGTCATTTCACAAAACTGAAACAAACTCGAACCATAATGTCCAAATAACTCTGCAAAATCATAAAAAATTTCAACTTCAAATAAAATTAAAATTAAAGAGATCCAAAGAATGCCAAGGAAAAATATCTTTCTGATTCTTTTGATTTTACAATTAAATGTTTTGATGATGCTATGTAAGAAATTGCTAAAACTGCTCAACTTTTCCGACTTTAAATCAACATTATCAAAACTGAAGTTTTTTTATAAATGAGTACAAAGTCAATTTTAAAACATCCTGTTCTGTCTAAGATTCTCAGGTATGGACCTTTTTATCTTGTACATTTTTGAAACAATGACTGAAAATTTTTGACGAGATTTGTTTTATCATCTGAAAAAATTGACGCTTATAACAAAAAAGATACTTCACTTGCAATACGTTTCCTGGATGTTATAAAATTGGCAATAACGGGCAGTTAACGGGCGGAAAAACTCCATTTTTTTCCTCTAAATATTGAGGAGAAAGTCAATTTGTTCCGGCTCAAAAAATTTTTCCAAATTGAATTAAGGCAACTAATTGATCAATATATTCCAAAAAGAACCTTAGAGAGCTAAGAGCGCAGTCTAAGCGTTCAACAACCTTGTCCCTGATTCGAACAGTCTTGTTTATAAACCAAAAACAATGATTTTTTTTCAAAAATGATAGTTTTTGCATCTTTTCAGATCCAGTTGTAGCAAAGTGTTTGGTCCATGAGCAATTTAGCGAGAAGATTGTGCTTGGAAAAGGGTATTTAAAAATTTTCGTACGAACTTTTAAATCACTGACGAGCAAAACTGCAAATTTAATCGGGTCATTGTCAATAGTTTTTCAAGTTAAGGTGGCCACAATAACGTTTGGTGACCAGAATCAACCAGATATAAGTTTTGCAATAGCTTCACAGCTAGATTTGATAAATGGATTGTAATTGTGCTCAACTTTCTTGCGTGTTTGGCGTCACAGTTGGGTGGAATAAGTAGTTATGATAAAAAACGGAGTAAACTGTGCCGACTGTTAAAACTGATAGTTAGACGCAAAAAAGACGCAATTCATTCTCAACCGAGCTCACTACTACACAGCAAATTAGACAAGGCTAAAAGCGGTCAACTTTTACAATCTGAATTAATGGAACAAAACCAATTGAAGCCCTTATTGTTTCCCTGGCAATTGAATGGCCATCACTCAGATTCAGTTTCACAAAGAAGCAGGGAATCTGAAAACCTGTAATATGTGATGAAAACGTAAGTTCAATAGGTTCTACCTCCAACCTGAACCAGGCAAGCGCCACACAAGAACTTCAAATGGCCCCCAAGGTTTGCACTTGCGTGCTCTTCAAGGACTGGGCAATGTAGTCAAATGCTTGCTCCATGAGCACTTCTGCGATAAGAGATTTTGCTTCAAGAAAGAGGTGTTTAAAAGTTTTCTTAGGAATTGTGAAACTGCTATTTGTTGATATAGCTGCCAAATAGTTCTGGTAAAATAAGTTTTTTTTAAAAAAAAATTAACAAAAAGCTAAAATAATTTTTGGTGACCAGTAAAACCGGGTTGACATAAAATGTTAGGCAACTTTTTTTGTAAAAAGGGTATCACAATTGGGTGGAACGTGGAAGGACTGGTTATGAAGGACTGGGGCACAACAGCGGTTTGCCGTGATGAGCTGTACAGCTCGTATGTTGGTCCTATCCCTCGTGGATAAATGATCTTTATGATAGAAAACGTGGTTAACCAGATGCTTAGACTGTTAGAATTTTTTTTTCATAAAAGATACTTGATTTAATTTCAACTGACCACTCAACTACGACGCAAATTAGGCGAAGCTATATCGATCGAATGTTTTATTGCGAAATTTCAAATAAACCAATTTTTGAACAACAATTTGAAAAATGAGTGTTTTTTAATTTAAAATTTTCCAAAAAAAAAAACAAATTGACCGAGAAGAGTGAAATTAAACAAGATTTAAAATCACTTAGGTTAATATTTAGATTGCTTAATGAAATCACTGGTGTCGCACAAATGCTAGCAGTACTTGCTCAAATTCTCGCACGCTTTTGGCAACTGCGCTTTTTGTTTATTCAATCTATCAAATAAAATTTGATAAAAACCGTTTATGCAGTCTATCAAACAAAATTTCAATTATACAATAGAGTTTAATACAATTTTTATCCTCCAAATTTCATTGCAAAATTGAAAAGGTTGAAATTGTTTTAATTTCAAGACTCGCTTCTGATTGACATTTATGGAAAGCCGAAAAAAAATGTTCTCGGAGTGCCTAAAAACTTTTCGTTTTCGGATAGCCTTAATCTTTTGTTCTTCCCTGATAGCCAAAAAAATGTCTATTCGTTCAAAACAAAAATCAACTGCTACAAAAAAACATTTTATATCAATTAAAAAATATGTTTTCTGTCATTATAGCCCCTACCGTCAGGTAAATTATAGACCCTCATACTCTGCAAGAAGAATTGCTTTTAATCAATCGAATATTCGCCTTACTTTTTTTCGATCAAACCAATTTACGCTATCATCTCTAAGCGATAAAATGATCAATTTTTGACAATTTTTTGTCAGAGTCAATTGAATTGCTGTTTTGTCCCTTTTTTGACGGGTGCTCCCCGCTTTTTTCTCCAAACACTCTTTTAATACTGCAGTAATTCAGTTATTTACTTGATAGCCAAAATCAAAAAAAATCCCGGATAGATGGAAAAAAAATATAATCGGATATCCGGAAAAACCATTGCATATTAAATTAACACATTTTTGCCATACAATTTTGTGAGAGCAAAGTTATTAGATAGCAAAACCGTTTTTTTATACTTTTTGTTAGCTTTGTTTCGAAAAAAATATATGATTTAGTCGTTCAAATGAAAATAGTTCAAATTTTGTGCCGAATTTGATTTTTTAAGAAATTGATTTAGTTTGTAAATAAAAAATCAGATCGTGAATGTCCCGAATGTCGTTAAGAATGTTTGAAGCAAAATTTTGGCAATCAAATTCGCTGAAATATGTTTTGTGCTCAAGAAATTTATATCTTTCAGGCTTAATAGATAAATTTTGGCAAAAATATCCAGTGAAAAACTTGCTATTTTTTTTTAAAGAAATTCCATCCGAACCGAAAGAATCTGCTTCTTTCGGAACAATAACAATCAACACGGCCAATATAAAAATAATTCACTTCTGTCAGGGGCGGATCTAGGATTTTCTCGAGGGGGGGGGGGCGGATTTTCAAAAAAAATCGAAAATTTTGACGACCTTTTTTTTTTAGGTGGACCAAATTGATTTTTCGAGCTCTCCCAAAGCACTTTTTTGCCCCCATTTCGGCAAAATTTTCTGCGCCGCAGGCAAATTTTTGAAAAAACAGTAAAAAAAGCCGTTTTTGGGCACTTTTTGAAAAATTTTGACAAAAAATCGCGTTTTTTTTGGCGCGCGCTCCCCCTCAAAGTTAGTATATATTGGCGCCAAAGGCGCCTTTAGAAAAATTTTAGGGTTATTCGGCCAAAAATGGATTTCTGAAAAAGTATCAAAGGGGGGACCCTTTGGGTCGGCAGGGGGTCGAATCCCTGAGGGAAAGACGTCCGCCCCCCCCGCCCCCCCCCCCCCCCCCTAAATCCGCCCCTGATTCTGTCATCATAACTGTTTATTTAAAGCTAAACGAGTACAGTTTTGAATGTTCTTTTCGTTGAAAACCTAGATCAGACTTTTAAAATGGCGCTAGATCATATGGGAAGATGGTGGCAGTTTTTGGTGGTCACTAAAATGTCATGAACTGAAATGAAACATTTGTCCAGAGCCGTCTCCTCCTTTTTCAGTATCCGCATTGAGTAAAACTGTAAAAACTATCAAATGTTATCTGAAGAGCACCCATAATCATTCAAATTCTTCAAGATTAATAAGTTTAACACTATCATTTGTATCAACTCGTTCAAGATCGTTAATTAACAAAGGAATCACGCTCTTTTTCTGCCACCTCCACCGGTAGTCTGTTGAATCCTCGTCCTGAACGTACAAGCCAACAGCCTCGAAGAGAGTGAGGAAAAAGTCTCTGATTGTGGGACCGTGGTTTGGATTGAGCCAGAACACGGTGATGGGGTTTAAGACGTAGATGGACGAATAGATGAACTGGACCTCCATCAGAATTCGTAGGTTTTTATACAGTTCGTTGGGGTTCTTCGTCAGCTGAAAATTTTCACATTTGGTCGGATTTAAACTAGTTACGAGGACCCAAAAAAAAATTTGAAGGCCTAAAGTCCCTTCCAAAAAAATAAGATTTCGACCTTCCCGCGACTCAATGGGTCTCAGTTCAGACAGAAGGCGGTAAAAAAAATTATTAAACACGGCAGACGGCAATATAACTTGTCAAATGTTCAAAGTTCTAAGTTTTTTGAATTTTCAATTTTTTCCTAAAATTGTGCTAAAAAACTCCAAAAACAACCTTTACTTGAGTAAAACTCTTTTTCACGGCTTAAATTAAGCTTAAATAAGCTATTGCAATTACTAACTATCGTACTAATTAGCTCAAAATTAAACCAAAAATCAAAAATTTCAAACCGGTTTTTCTCGACACTGTGAAAAAATTTTCAAATATTTTTAATGTCGGTCGAATCACGACTGAAAGGGTTTCAATATCATATTCACTTGATCCATTCCGGTGATTATTTTTGGCACCTGATTTTGCGTGGAAAGCAAAAAAAAAGAAAAATTAAAGCACATCCGATTCCTCCCCATTTTCAATGGTGGAAAAACTAGGACACTTCGTTAATAAAATTATAAGCTTGCCGCAGAAATTGTATTAAAATAGAGGGCCTGTAACTGCCAATAGTAAGCCCCACACCCAAGCTTTTTCGATGCGTACCTTATTGCAAATTTAATTGGAAATAGCACTATGAACAAGAGAAGTTAGCTTCATTAAAATTTCTAACAGACACAGATATTTTTTTCCAAATATGTTTTCTTTTTTGAGCCCGCAAAGTTCATTCTGATAAACCTGACAAATACAACAGAAAAATGCAATTTAATTTGACATTCCAAAGGAAGCATTCGGTTTATGTTGTTTTATGATCCCATTTAGTATTTCATTATGTAGCTTTCTTAAGCATCTATGTTGGCCATTCAAATGAAAAAAACCATCATTGAAGATATTGCAATAAGTACAGAACTTCATGAAATGCAAATATAACCACACTGCTTGTATGAGGGCGATTATGAAAAAAGTTAAATGTAATAAAATAAATCGCAATTTTAGAGTTTGAGATTTTTGTAAAAATCATCCCCCACCGCCATATAAAGAACAAAGTGATAGGTTTCGCTCCTAGTAACAAATCAATTATGGCAAATAGCTTCCTTCAATCAATTTGGAATGATTTTAAAGACGGATTAAATCTCCGCTTACGCGTTGATAGCGCGAAATATATCGCGGCTTAATTGTCTCAAGTTGGCCAAAAATGGCAATCTTTGAACCCCCATAATTTAACAAAAAATGATCACAGACAAAATATCTATTCAAATTTAACCTCAAGACAACAACACTTTTTGAATGATATGAAAAGTTTCCGTCGAAATGGCTAGTTAAAAAGTCGACATTTGTCTGAAGAAGTAAAAAACTACCCTGTGCACATAGTCGGAGCAATTATCCAACGAAAACTTTTCTTGCGCACTAATTTGTACAATAAATAACTTTAGCCATTTCAGTTCTTACTAATATCAAGGCAGCTAATTTTGGCAGCATGGCAAAGTTATCGGAATCACTAACTTTCGCTTAGCGTCTTCAGCTAGTTTTCTAGTTTTTGGAATAAACTGTTCGGATTTTCTAAGAAAGTGCGGAATATCTATGGCAGCTCATTTTGAGCAAACTCTTTTTCACGGCTTAAATTAAGCTTAAATAAGCTATTGTAATTACTAACTATCGTACTAATTAGTTCAAAATTAAACCAAAAATCAAAAATTTCAAACCGGTTTTTCTCGACACTGTGAAAAAATTTTCAAATATTTTTTATGTCGGTCGAATCACGACTGAAAGGGTTTCAATATCATATTCACTTGATCCATTCCGGTGATTATTTGTGGCACCTGATTTTGCGTGGAAAGCAAAAAAAAAGAAAAATTAAACCACATCCGAATTCCTCCCCATTTTCAATGGTGGAACAACTAGGACACTTCGTTAATAAAATTATAAGCTTGCCGCAGAAATTGTATTAAAATAGAGGGCCTGTAACTGCCAATAGTAAGCCCCACACCCAAGCTTTTTCGATGCGTACCTTATTGCAAATTTAATTGGAAATAGCACTATGAACAAGAGAAGTTAGCTTCATTAAAAGTTCTAACAGACACAGATATTTTTTTTCCAAATATGTTTTCTTTTTTGAGCCCGCAAAGTTCATTCTGATAAACTTGACAAATACAACAGAAAAATGCAATTTAATTTGACATTCCAAAGGAAGCATTCGGTTTATGTTGTTTTTTGATCCCATTTAGTATTTCATTATGTAGCTTTCTTAAGCATCTATGTTGGCCATTCAAATGAGAAAACCATCATTGAAGATATTGCAATAAGTACAGAACTTCATGAAATGCAAATATAACCACACTGCTTGTATGAGGGCGATTATGAAAAAAAATTAAATGTAATAAAATGAATCGCAATTTTAGAGTTTGAGATTTTTGTAAAAATCATCCCCCACCGCCATATAAAGAACAAAGTGATAGGTTTCGCTCCTAGTAACAAATCAATTATGGCAAATAGCTTCCTTCAATCAATTTGGAATGATTTTTAAGACGGATTAAATCTCCGCTTACGCGTTGATAGCGCGAAATATATCGCGGGTTAATTGTCTCAAGTTGGCCAAAAATGGCAATCTTTGAACCCCCATAATTTAACAAAAAATGATCACAGACAAAATATCTATTCAAATTTAACCTCAAGACAACAACACTTTTTGAATGATATGAAAAGTTTCCGTCGAAATGGCTAGTTAAAAAGTCGACATTTGTCTGAAGAAGTAAAAAACTACCCTGTGCACATAGTCGGAGCAATTATCCAACGAAAACTTTTCTTGCGCACTAATTTGTACAATAAATGTCTTTAGCCATTTCAGTTCTTACTAATATCAAGGCAGCTAATTTTGGCAGCATGGCAAAGTTATCGGAATCACTAACTTTCGCTTAGCGTCTTCAGCTAGTTTTCTAGTTTTTGGAATAAACTGTTCGGATTTTCTAAGAAAGTGCGGAATATCTATGGCAGCTCATTTTGAGCAAACTCTTTTTCACGGCTTAAATTAAGCTTAAATAAGCTATTGTAATTACTAACTATCGTACTAATTAGTTCAAAATTAAACCAAAAATCAAAAATTTCAAACCGGTTTTTCTCGACACTGTGAAAAAATTTTCAAATATTTTTTATGTCGGTCGAATCACGACTGAAAGGGTTTCAATATCATATTCACTTCATCCATTCCGGTGATTATTTGTGGCACCTGATTTTGCGTGGAAAGCAAAAAAAAAGAAAAATTAAACCACATCCGAATTCCTCCCCATTTTCAATGGTGGAACAACTAGGACACTTCGTTAATAAAATTATAAGCTTGCCGCAGAAATTGTATTAAAATAGAGGGCCTGTAACTGCCAATAGTAAGCCCCACACCCAAGCTTTTTCGATGCGTACCTTATTGCAAATTTAATGGGAAATAGCACTATGAACAAGAGAAGTTAGCTTCATTAAAAGTTCTAACAGACACAGATATTTTTTTTCCAAATATGTTTTCTTTTTTGAGCCCGCAAAGTTCATTCTGATAAACCTGACAAATACAACAGAAAAATGCAATTTAATTTGACATTCCAAAGGAAGCATTCGGTTTATGTTGTTTTTTGATCCCATTTAGTATTTCATTATGTAGCTTTCTTAAGCATCTATGTTGGCCATTCAAATGAGAAAACCATCATTGAAGATATTGCAATAAGTACAGAACTTCATGAAATGCAAATATAACCACACTGCTTGTATGAGGGCGATTATGAAAAAAAATTAAATGTAATAAAATAAATCGCAATTTTAGAGTTTGAGATTTTTGTAAAAATCATCCCCCACCGCCATATAAAGAACAAAGTGATAGGTTTCGCTCCTAGTAACAAATCAATTATGGCAAATAGCTTCCTTCAATCAATTTGGAATGATTTTTAAGACGGATTAAATCTCCGCTTACGCGTTGATAGCGCGAAATATATCGCGGGTTAATTGTCTCAAGTTGGCCAAAAATGGCAATCTATGAACCCCCATAATTTAACAAAAAATGATCACAGACAAAATATCTAATCAAATTTAACCTCAAGACAACAACACTTTTTGAATGATATGAAAAGTTTCCGTCGAAATGGCTAGTTAAAAAGTCGACATTTGTCTGAAGAAGTAAAAAACTACCCTGTGCACATAGTCGGAGCAATTATCCAACGAAAACTTTTCTTGCGCACTAATTTGTACAGTAAATGTTTTAGCCATTTCAATTCTTACTAATATCAAGGCAGCTAATTTTGGCAGCATGGCAAAGTTATCGGAATCACTAACTTTCGCTTAGCGTCTTCAGCTAGTTTTCTAGTTTTTGGAATAAACTGTTCGGATTTTCTAAGAAAGTGCGGAATATCTATGGCAGCTCATTTTGGCAGCATGACAAAGTTATGGGAATCATTAACTTTCGCTCAGCTTCTTCAGCTAGTTTTCTAGTTTTGGAATTAATTGTTCCGATTTTCGAAGAAAGTTTGGAATATCTATGGCAGCTCATTTCGGCAGCATGACAAAATTATCGGAACCACGAACTTTCGCTTTTGTGTCTTCAGCTTATTTTCTAGTTTTTGGAATTAACTGTTCCGACTTTCGAAGAAAGTGCGGAATATCTATGCGGAATATCTGTGCGGAATATCTATATGTGGTTTTTTATTCAGTCAATTTTTGACTTGTTTACTAAGCGTTTTTAAAATTCTGATCATTTTTTGTAGAGTTACCGGCGTTTAAAATGGATACTTTTGCGATAATTCCGTCAATTTGGGACAACTAAAATGCAATATGTTGCGTACTTATAACACGCGTAAGAAGCAAAATAATGTCTTCCAAATTGAATTGAGGCCAGCAATATAATCGTATTATCACAATACGAAACGCTAAACACACACATACTAGTTTACATAGCGTGTGGGGGATAAAATGAAGGAAAAATGAAAAAAAAAATTCTTTTTTCTCAAACATTTGTCAATTATTCAACCAAAAAAATTTTCAGTTGGCTTTAAGTGCAGCCGGAACATTCAAAGCTCTGTCCTGATAAACGAGCACTCTTGTTTTATACAATTCCAGGTTTGATTATACAACGGACTATTTTAAACCCAAGTTATCTTTTTTACACTTTTTCTCCGTGAAAAGTTTTCACTCTGAAGAGAAAATACACTCTTATCCAATATCTCTTACAACAAAATCGCCTTGGAACGGGAGAAGATGAGACTATCGAAAGAGAAGAAGATGTTAGACGACATGTTGGAGGCATGCCCCTGCTAACTGATCTGAGCTTGGCTATGAGAACCGATCCCTTAGCACTGATCAGAGGAGCCACGGAGTTTGTGACAGTGATCTATGGACCAGCAGTCACGTTTGCGTTCCCTGACGTTAAGGTGGAGGCGTATAGGAGGTCGGTGCTGCACCTGAACCTCATATCAGCAGTGGACGGTAGTGCACTGAACTGGTGTGAGCAGCACACATTGCGGGAGCTCATGAGTGAAGATCTGTTATTTGCGAAAATATCAGAGCCAGAGATGACAGTCATCAATTTTGACAATCACTTCCGTGATTGCATGGGAGAAGTAGAAAGAGGACACATCGAAGTGTTTCCGAAGCTTTGGAATCTGAGACCCTATGATAAAACGAATGGTGAGATAACCAGAGTGCCTCGTCTCACTGCAGCATATCATAAAGTGAGAGAAGAGACGAAAGACTGGGGTGATTACGAGAAGCTGCCGGAGGCAATCTCTGAATTCCCTCTGATAAGAAGGATGTTGCTCGGAGCAGTCTCCGTGGTACAAACTCCTAGGTTGAGAGCACTCGAAACCAATGAAAGGAGAATAGGGAATTTCGTAGCAACGATGGATACATACTTTGTGGGAAGAAATGCCGCTGTGTTACAGTACACACAATTTGCCTATACGGATCAAGCGACGAGAAGGCGAATAAGCAACGCCGCGACTCCCAAGCCTGGAAGATTTGATGACGAATGGGCGGGATTAGGCTTAGCGCCTATGAAGATGAGAGGCAGGACCGAACTGCCTGAGGCCACCTTGATCCTGACTAGTGTGAAACTGGAGTTGACGGTAGTAGGAACGCTGCGAACGAGAACCTTCCTAGCACCCTTCGGCTGCGAGGAAATCAAAGTGGTCCATGGAGAAGAGGAAGATAGATCGGCCGGTACATTGATCATACCGAAGTTTCCGGAAGGAACCGACAATGATAAACAAGGACCCTCGAGCTCAAAGAAAGATATGTCAGAAGGAGATGACGGACAGGGAGGAAGCCGTCAACACGAAGAACCCATGCAACAAGATGCAAGTCAAGCTGGTGGGGAAGACGAGAGGGCATCGACAGGAGGAGTATCCAACCTGGATTTCAATATCTTCAGTGATCTTGAGAACAACGCGGATACGTTGGAGACGACTGAGCCAGCAGGTGAAGGCACATCGACATTGGAGCCGCCGCCAGCCTTTATGGAAATGAAACGGGATTTGCCGGAGAGCAGCTCTCCTGGCAATTCAAGAAATAACGAACAAAGAATCCTCATAGAATCGCCTAGAAGAAGAAGAATAGAGGGCTCAGCCAGAGTACCTTTCTTGGGAACGTTGCCCGAAGAAGAATGGGAAGTACATCACCGAGACCTTGAAAGTATGACGGGATGCAAATTGGACAGAGTGGCATTCATGGAAGAAGTCTGGACAGTGGTTCAGAGCTATGGGACCCAGTCCATTCTGAAAACAAGTCTCAATCGACCCTTGATGCGGGAAGTCCTTGACAAGCTTGATGAGTGTGAAGGGAGATTGAGTGAGTTGTTGATTGACTCAGCCACTGATGAAAGTGAAGCGAATTCTCCCATCAAGATGACACCGCAGGACGATAAAGGAGAGGTGGTGTATCTGTCAAGAACCAGGAGAGGAACGATGCGATCAAAATTGGTGATTGATAAGATCAACGCGATGAAAACGAAGTTAGGCAGCAGAGTGATGCCGAGGAGAGTAGGAAAGACGAAGGTGGATTCGGAGATATCGATGAAAGCTGTCAATTCAGCGAAAAGGAAACGAGTCGAAAAGGTCATGGATTTGGGACAAGGTGATTATCAATTGCCTGGCACAGATAAAATGTTGACTGATATAGCGATGGTGCCACCCATTCTCATGGCGGGAATAAAGTCAACAGGTTATAAATCCAAAAGGAGTGACCGCAAACTAACTGGAGCAACCTTAGAAATGGAAATACTCAGCCAATGTGGAGAGAGCACAATGAAAGATTTTAAGCCATCTCCCATGAATCATGGAAAGGGAAATGTCGCAGGACAACTAGTACCAGTAGAGTACAACCGACTGACAGTATCGGAGGCTGTGTCGATAGATGAACCCGCCGGTGGATACATGGAGATGTTGGAGTACCGAAACTCGGCTAGAGGGCATGTGATAGCTCTGGAAGACAAGAGTGCCATGGAGAGTTATCTGGAGACAATGTTGCAAGGCACCACCCTCAAGCAGAAGGCGTACGGGACTTTAGCGTCGTCTGAGATACAGGCAGAAGCGATGGAGCAGTTGGTGAGCCTTCCATGGAAAGCAGTGGTGTTACGGTACTTCGAAGAAGAGATGAGGACTGCGCCAACAATACACGCTCTCATGGCAGTACCTTACGTAAGAACAGAGTTACAACTGAGGTTTGCCTGGTGCATGATGGGATTGACTCGCGAAGAATATGGTTCAGAAGAAAGGAAGAGGTGAAAAGAAGAGAAAGTTTTCCTTATGACGAACCTGAGGGATCTGATAATTCAAGAGGGAGCAGCAGTAGCGTGTGCGAAGCGGAGAGACGCTCTCTGTTTCATTCGATTCATGATAGAGCAGATTTCAGTACCTGCATTAAACACTTGTGTTAAGATGCTGAGGGAAGGCGATGAGCGAGAGAAAGCCTTACTCTTGCTAGCACTGCTGGATATGCAGCAAAGCAAACCGATGAGGGTGAATATGAAAGAAACCGAAGAGTTAGAGCCCATGAGAAAGATAGACGAAATCAGGAGATTCTCAAACAATGAGCTGAGACTCACTGAGGAATCTATGGGGGCACTACCGAAATCCAGTCAATACTGTGGACCGATCAAGAAGAAGTCGTACAGCTACGTATCCGGAATCATAGGGATAGCGTACAACCCTTTCCTGAGTGAGGACATACGCGATTGCTTCTTCGATCACAAGCAGGCAGTGTTACTAAGATTCTGGACGTCGAGATTTGTAACAATTAAGATCAAATTGGGACTGGTCTTGGATGAAGAGGTGACTGCACCTTCCGTACCAAAATCCGACAAAAGAGTGGAATTTAGGTTGGGATTCTCAGATGAATTACTGAGAACGAGCTTGATGGCAGTGTGGGAATTGATGAGGCCATCATGGTGTCCTAGTCCCAACGCTGACTCGATATTACGAGCGACACAAGACGTGCAGAGGGAGGAGCTGAATGCAGACTGTAACCTGCGTGACCTTAACATCATATATAATGTGATGATAACGGCCTCTAGGAGCAACGGTGAAGATAAAGTGGAGTTGCCTGGCTGGGGACCAGAAGACTGGGTCAAACCTGGTAGCTGTCTGGCGGAAGTCTGTGGACTGGAAGGTCACGTTTGTGGAAGTCTGGACTGCGTGAAGACCCTAGAGAAACAACACAAGCAATTGACGGTATTGTTTGGGAATGTCGTGATGAAAGCAAGAACGGAAACGGAACTGATAGCGGATTGTCATGGAGGAACCGGGGTGAATTTAGTGACTGCACTATGATTCTACAGCATGTTTAGTTCTTTAGAGTCGCTATTGAATCTAGAACAGAGACATGAGATGGTCACTGCCATCAATGTAGAAGTATTCCCAGGAGTTCTGCTAACCGAGCAGAAACACATAGGAAATTGGAGGGAAGCCATCGAGGCGGAAATGAACATCAGACACAGTGAAACTTATTGTAGACCATCAGGAGCACGATATTTGGTGGGTTCGACATTGGCTCCAATGTGCAAGAGCAGATACCCGGTGCATTTCGTAGCTGTGGATGTAAAGAGTACGAGAACGATCGTGGATCAAGCCTTCTCAGTGCCAAAGTGTGTTAGGCTAACGAGAATGTCCAAAAATACTTACGAGTTGCTATGTAAGATGTTCTCAGCAGTTCCAGAGAGAACCAAGGAGGAGTTGGAATCGATACTGGGAAAGAAGTTCATGGGATACGTGAGTGGGAACTCCAGTGACTTTGAGAGACAGAAACAGAGAGGATCAACTGTTACAGATTACAATACAGTAAACGAGAATGATGAAGTCCACCGAGTGATGATGGAAGTGGAACCATTACTGGAAGCTTCGGGAAAACGTAATTGGAGGAGCATCATGTTGACACATGACGAGTTTCCCTGCCACTGCCTGCTGCAGACCTGGTGGTATCCCAAGCGTAGTAATCTGGTGTTGATCTGGGAGTCTGGAGAGCTGCTCTCCATGAGTTTACCAGACTCATCACAGCCCATAACAATAGTGATAGTGGGAGTTATGATGGCGATACGATGGCTGGAAGCTCATGTGTAAGAAAACAATAGACAGGAGGCACCGACGAGAGAACAGTTGCGGAAATTGGATTGTCTAAAAGATTTAGATCTTTTCGAGACAATGTGCAAGATTCTAATCATTCCGATGGAAGTGAAGAAGATATGGGCAAGAAAACGATTGATGCCATGGTTCAGAGCTAACATGACTGCATGGTTGTACGAATATGCTAAGAAGCATATGTCGAAGCACGGCAGAGTGTACAGTGAATATCAGCTGGACATTTGAGCAGGAGCTTTCAAGCGAGCTCTCGTGACTCATCGGAATGCAGTGACCACCGCTGTGAAAAGAATTTCCAGGACAAGTGAACGTAGTGGAAAGGAGAAGGCAGAGATGTTGAAGGAAGATTTGGAGACAAATGTGATGTTGTGTCTCCACAACAGCTTCTGCAGGAACAGAGAATCTAACGTGGATCCCCTACCTTGTTGCAAGCAGAGGGTAGAAGAGCAGAAGTGTTGGAGGACTGCTTCCAACAGCGTCAGGATAGCTAACGATGTGTTGCAGGACACAGAAACTGAAAGTGCAGAGTCAGTATCACAGGAGGAAGAGATGGAACATTGACGAATGGCCGAAAAACGAGATGCAAAAAGAGACGAAATTAGAAGAATTTAGAAGTTTTAGAACTTCTAAACGACGAAAAAAGAAGAAAACAAAGGAGTGATGAAGAAGAAGTTAAAACTCAGAATTGTTTCATGTGTGTGAAAAAACTCAAGTGAGAAACTAAGCAACCAAGAAGTAATTGAAAACTGAAACACTTAGTTGAGTTTTGAACATTAAAGAATTTGTTGCATTTATAAATTTGCATTTTGATTTTAGCTGAGTGGCTTTAGAGACACTTAATAATTATTTAGAAAGGCTTGAGTAAAGAGTATATTTAAGTATTCCAGCCTGCATGACTGTTTTTAATCAACTAGGAGAATGAAAGACTTGGGTAATCTCTCGAAGAGGGAGATTGTTTCATTGTTCTTTCTAACCACAGAGTTTCTTAGTTTTAATATTCAGGACAATAACAAGCAAGATTTCCGAAGGGAAGAAGCATAGTAGGATAATTTTAGCTTGTTGGTTGGCAGGATTGTCCTGCAAACCAACACCTCTTAAATCTAGGAGAAAAAGTTTTTAATCAGGACATTGACATTAAAAGTCGGAAAAGATGTTTTTATCTTAGGTCATATCCTCAATGTGCAGACTAATGAAAGAATTTGAAGGCTATAGTGATGTAGTGATGCCATTTATATTCTGCAGTGAGTCGATATGACGTGGATAAAAGTAATTTCGTGCATTTTGTAAATTCTGTTCGATAACACTGTACCTATTTTACGAACATTGCGAGATTCAATGAGGACATTGACCGGACTGTCCGGGGAGTATGTGACATTCGACCAGAATGGACCAAAATGCAAGCGCAACAATTTCGAGTTTTTAGCAGCGAACCTTCCGAATTGGCAATTTTGAAGGAATAAGAGCGTTATTGGAACGATTGGCCGAACGGTGAAGGCTAGAATATTCTGGTGTTTCAAATTTTTAAATTTTCGAAGTATGACGTCATATTTCTGAGAAACGTCAGAAACGGCCATTTTGGCAGAAAAACCGGAAGAAAAACACAACAACATTAGTTGCGATAGCGTGAACAACGAGAATTGTGTTTGAAAAACAACGAAGAATTGCAGAAGTAGCAGATACCGCTCCGAGTTGCAACTATTGTGTCGCTACAATAGTTGCAAGGCCGTTGCGAACAACGGTGAAGGGTGGAAGACAGCCTTCCGGAAGGAAGATAAGAGTCTTATTTCCCCGGATTCAAGAATCCGGAGGGGTCTCAGAATTTGGACTGGAACTATTTTATACAAACTTTTAGCTTCCCTGTCATGTCCTGAGTTGAATTTAATTAACATCTGAATTCATTTTGCTAGGATGAGAAGCTAGGAGTTGGGGGAAGGGGTTGATCCATCTTCGATGGAGATGATGATTTTTATCTACTGAACAAAAAAAACAATAATTCAATAAGTAGTAGTAGCCCTGTTTTTAGGAGTGACCTCGTGGTCTGGGGATACTGAGACCCAGCCATGAGCTCACTATTTCTGCATGTAATTAAGTTAATTTGAGTGTTTTGACCGAAGCCGAAAGCAGTAACGTTTTTTGTCGACCCGATGTTAGAAAGACCACCGAAAGTACTGGCTTGGTAGAGACGGTTAAAAACATGTAAAGCTCTGTTTAGATGTTAGCCAGTCGTCTTAGGACTTAGTTTTATTTTCCGTCGATATGTATCTTCCGGGCGAATGTTACAAAGCTATATCGTATATTGCAATGGTTAAGAATATTTTTACTTTCGATTTTCCTATTTGATTTTAGTGGTTATTTTACCGAGTTTAAATTAAGCAGCCCAATATTGATTTAGGGGTTGCGAATTTGGCCTCCAATTTTGAATGATTGGAGGCAATGACTGAATTTTGAAACTTTAAACAACAAAAAAATTTACAGATTTTGAATTTCCGAACCATGTAGTTGGGTGCTGTCATATTACTTTAAGAAGTTACAAATCTTGCCTCCAAATATGACTGTTCAAATTCTTGTAGTTTTCGAGATATGACGTTTTTTGTGGTTTTTTCAAAAAATGTTCAGAAAACTTATATTAATTTTTTTTCGCAAAACCTGAAATTCCCAACCCTGTAGTTGGGTCCTGTCAGAGTAATCTCAAAGATTGCGAATCTTGCCTCCAAATATGACTGCTCAATTCCTTTGAGTTTCCGAGATTTGACGTTATTCGATTTTTTCAAAATTTCTCAAAGAACTTATCTAAAAAGAAATTCGAAAAATTTGAAACCACTAATTTGATGAAGATACAACCTTATTGTCAGCGTTTTTGAATACCTAGCCCTATAGTAGGGTGCTCTCAGGGACTCTTAGTGGCTGGAAAAAGTATTACCGACGTTGTTAATATTGGAATCGGAGGATCTGATTTAGGCCCAGTTATGGTAACAGAGGCTCTGAAACACTATGCTGGCAATTTGAAATGCCACTTTGTTTCGAATATTGATGGAACCCATATGGCGGAAACACTGAAAAGTGTAAACGCGGAGACAGTGCTCTTCATCATTGCCTCGAAAACTTTCACGATCCAAGAAACTATTACGAATGCTAACTCTGCCAAGGCCTGGTTCTTGTCTGCCGCTGCCGATCAAAACCACGTTGCTAAGCATTTCGTAGCTCTGTCAACCAACAAAGAAAAAGTCACCGAGTTTGGAATTGACGAGAAGAATATGTTTGGATTTTGGGACTGGGTAGGAGGCCGCTACTCCCTATGGTCTGCGATTGGAATGTCAATTGCTTTGCATGTTGGGTTTGAATATTTCGACCAACTTTTACATGGCGCGCACGAACATTTTTGCAATGCAAAATTAGAAGAAAATTTGCCAGTGATTTTGGCGCTTGTCGGTATTTGGAATAACAATTTCCTGGGAGCTCAAAGTCAAGCGATTCTTCCGTACGATCAGTATCTGTCACGATTTGCAGCATACTTCCAGCAGGGTGACATGGAATCTAACGGGAAATACCGCACCAGGTCAGGAAAAGAAGTCGAGTGGGAAACTGGACCAATTATTTGGGGAGAACCTGGTACCAATGGTCAGCACGCATTCTCATTCTACCAACTCATTCATCAAGGAACCAAACTGATCCCCTGTGACTTTCTAGCACCAGTTCATACTTTGAATCCAATCTCCAACAGAATCCACCACAAGATTCTGTTAGCGAACTTCTTGGCTCAAACTGAAGCGCTCATGAAAGGCAAGTCCCCAGAAGAAGTGAAAGAGGAAATGAAAAAGGCAGGGACATCTCCTGAGAGAATTGAAGAAATTTTACCCCATCGGGTATTCAAAGGAAACAGGCCAACCAACTCTATTATCTACGAGAAGCCAGACCCCTTCACCTTGGGAGCTATGGTTGCGATGTATGAGCACAAGATCTTCGTGCAGGGTGTCATTTGGGACATCAACTCCTACGATCAATGGGGAGTGGAGTTGGGAAAGCAGTTGGCAAAGGTGATAGAGAAAGAATTGGGCGGAACCGAGGAAGTAACTTCACACGATCAGTCGACGAACGCACTTATCAACCACATCAAAAAGCGAGCCAATTTCGATTGACAAGTTGACTGATATACTACACTAAACAAGAATATTTTTTCATTTTTTGGCCCATGTGAACAATCTTTCTCTTTAATAGACCAAGTGAACATCCCCCCCTAAGTTAGATGACAAACTCAAGCTGTAAAGCCTGCATGTCCTATGCTAAAATCTGATTGGCTGAAAATTTTTTCTTTTCTTAAATTGAACCAAGTTAACATCATCACCACAACTCCCACCACCAACCGTTTGGGGGGTAGGGGAGGATGTTAACTTGGTCCCATAAATTTTGTGACCTATTCAGACCTTAACAGATGTTTTACTTTTGAAAATATTAGCCACTATTCTGAAGGGCGGTGAATTGACTAGCACAAAACTTGACTAGAATAAAAGTTTCGAAAGTGAAAATTATATGGATTAGCATAGAAATCCAAACACAAAATTCAAATATTGTCAAAGTTAAAATCTTGATATACAAAAATTATTTGTAAATCACCGTTTTTTCACACATTTCATAATTAGCAGTCAATCAGTGTTCGGTTCAAGCCAGTTCAAATCGGGGTGTGACTGATCACGATTCGTTTGACATGTAATTTACTTTTTTTGTTGATTGCTCAGTTTCTTAATTGCTCATTTTTCTTTAAATTTGAGCAACTTTCAAGGATACTCTCAAAGCAAGTTTCAATTTGAGTGGAATGTTATTGTCGCTTTGTGTTTTTGAGAAATGAAGCTATCAAAATAATGCTAGTCGATACATTCTTTACTAAGCGCTCATTGCTGGTTGAATGCTTAGTAATTTTATCCTAAATTATAAGTCTCACCTTAGATCGTCAAATTGTCTTGACAAAAAGTAGAGTAGAAACAATAGTTAGAAAAGGTATGAATTAATTAGTTGGTTAGATACAGAGCACTGGGTTATTAGATTATATAAATGAATCGAACAGCTTGGAGAAATATACCTATGAGGTGAGGTGGAGCTAATCTTATTTTGTTCATCAATATTTTATCTTCTTACTAAGGTCGATGGCTGATTAGTATGAATGGGTCGCCCTTGGTTGTGTCCACTTCGACACTTCTGGTTTGGTCGTCAGTATCGTCTTTGCCGTAGTCCTTTGGGTACTTGTAGTCCAGACTTCCTCAGGTGTGGGTCTCTCGAGTATCTCGATTTATAATTTTATCGAACTTTAAATGAGAATTTATTCTCTATTTTATTTGTGAAAAAGGCTAGTTTAATTTTATTGTAAAGGCAGAAAAGAAAAATTATTTTTTTTGAAAAGATCTGACTGAAGAGATCTGACTTGCTGCTTACTGAGCAAAATGAAACACTGAAGATTTCAGGCCAGTCCTTTTGCTCGTAAGCATAAACCGGCGGCTGATTCAATCTTTAATTATTCAGTTTTCACCTGCTCCTTTGTTCTCCCTTTCTAATAAGGGAATTTTCAACTAGTTTTTATTTGATTTTTTCAAATCAAATATCTTCAACTTATTAGTCCCCTTTGATGAAAACCGCAGCCTTCAGTTTGTCTTATTAAAAATTCATATTACTCTCTCTGATGCATCATATTGCAGGTGCACCTCTGCTTAATCAAAGCTAGGAGAATTTCAGTGCAGCCGGCAAGACTGCTAAATATTTATCCAGTTTGTTTCAAGTTAAGTTAAAAGGGACGTATTAATAATCGCCGCCCTTTTAAAATATTGAGCATAAAAAAAGAGAAAAATTGGACAAGTATTTAAAAAGGAGTGGATTTTCAAAACAAGATTTTATAGTCCTAATAAGAGTAAATCAGTCAGTATCTGATTTAGTGAAAAGAGGCTTTAATTTAAATGGCACGCTCCAATTTAGAATTGGGTCGTTAAATAAACAATTAAGACAATGGTCTTTTGTGTGTGTAGTATTTCGCAATACTACAATTCTCATGTTTTCAAACTTTTATGCTAGCCGAGCTGTCACCGTATTAAGTAGTAGAAGTAGCAAAGAGAGATCCAATTCATCAACTCTTCGCGCTTCGTACTAAACTTGTTTGAACAGCAAAATAGTCAGACCATTTTTATGCAACATTTTTCCAATGTAAATTGGACTGGACGCCTATCTGACTTTTATTTGTGATAGCTGGATTGAGATAAAAATGCCCGATCCCTAAGTTCCATCACAACATCGGTGGTCGGCGTGTTAAATTTCAATTAAATTATTAGCTCAAGTTGTCACATTATGATGGTTCTCACCAAATCCTCATTGAGGAGCTCATAAGTGAAGAACATCTCCAGCCCACTTTGGGGGAACATGATGAAGTAGAGATAGAGTAGATAGAGGATGAAGGTCCTCCTGATGGTCCGCACTTGGCTCTCATCGTCTGAGTTGATCAGTTGGATGGGGGTGATGTTGTTCATGTGGTTGATGATCTTGATGTAGAGGGTGCTGATGATCGAGATAATTATCATGAGCAAAATGAATTTCTCGTACACGTTCACTTGCCACATCAGCTGAAAATGAGAAAAACTTATTTTGAAATCCGAATGAAATTTTTGACCATTGCCTAAACCAACTAATGGGAATATCGAGAAGTCTTTAAAAATTAAGAAAGCCTGCATGTCATTATCTTGTCAAAACAGCGGTAAGTACCAAGAATATCATACCTTTGGAATTCAATGAAAATTGGCGCTTATCGCAGTATAACCATAAGGATAGATTAACTTTTGTTTACCTTGAAAGTGGGGTAGTGGTCTCCGAAGTTCGCATATATCTGTCTGAAGGATCCGTCTCTGACTTGGAACCATTTGAGAGGCAAGTGGCAGGAGATTACCTGCTGGGCCGCCACTTGGAAAAACGAGATGACAAATAACAGCCCAAGATAGAAATTCCTGAAAAAAAAACAATTCCATAAAAAGCAACATTTTGTTTTCATTGAACTAAACCATCACCAGGAATCGACTCGGAAATCATTCTGACGCCGTCAATCCTGTGGAATTCAGATTCTAGAATAAGTTATTCACCCAAAATCTAAGAGTTTCGCGAGGGGTGGCAGGAAAGAGCAAATTTTCAAAAACAAAAACGCTCTTTCGGCTGCCAAATTCAAGTTCTTTTCCGGCAGATTATGCTAAATTCGTATAATTTCTTGTTTGATAAAACATGTCTAGGAATAATTGCATTTACAAACAATCAGTTGTATAAACTAAACCGAGCATGGCACTAATTGTTAAATTGTTTATTAAACAGCTTATTAAGAAAAAAGTAGTTGGTAGAAATAGTTTCTGAATCCTCCGAGTGATCTGTCTGTGGGTACTGATTCGTGTTTCTGTAGAAGGTGTGTCTTAATTTGTTCTTAAAAATTCTTGCGAAATATGACCAGTCTGGTTTATTGAGATAATGAATCCCATAGGCAGCCGCTTGCCGCTGATTTTTGCATATGTTTTTTGGTTGGCTGTGGGATATTGCCTGTAGTGTTTTCTTGCTTGAAAGGTCCGTAGACCTTTTTCTTGCATTCGAGCAATCGAATGATTTCAGAAGACTCATTTTCATTATCAAAAGCTCTGCTGAAAATATTTTGTGTTTTAATAATAAATCACGTCTTCTGTCAAAGTTCTTATTAAAAACACATTTTAGTACAAAAAATTGCCTGCCTAATTATTCCGTTATATTCATAAGTAAACTTTGCAAAAAACTGCGATATATGTAAGTGGAAAAAAAACGAAAAATTTGAATAAACTAATCCGAACATTTGAGGGTTTTACGTTCCTGACAAGATAAAGCGAAACAATTACTTGAGCCCCTCTACATCGAAAATTTTCAACTTGTATTGGAAAGTTTAGAATTTCTTCCAAGTTTTTTTAGGTTTCTGAAAGTTTTGATACTTTATGTTTTTTTTTTAAAATGAGGCAATACTTTTTTCATAATTACATCAAAAATATTAACTGAGTTCAAAGTGAGACAATTTTTTTATGTAAGCTTAAACGTCATCTACCTATTCTGTTGCGTGTTCTTGAAAAAATTTGGGAGATTTTTGGCTTACTATCAGAGCGAATTTATCTGCAAACTGAATTGCTTGACTTTATCTATTCAAACTAAAAGAAAACAGTCTAAACTGGGATGAAATTTATTGGTTCAAGAATTTTCTCTTCTGGTCCTCGTTGATTCAAGATTTCCCATTCAGATTTTAATATTGGGACTTTTACTGCCTGCTGCATATTTCCAAAAAAAAATTTGAATAATGTTACAGTCGTTTTTTTGAAACCCATTTGCTTGATTTTTATTTTGAAAAAAAAATTGTGAAATGTTGAATTAAACGCTTTAGCAAGATCCAAAAATTATTCCGATCAAGAAATTAAACTATTTTCATTAACAAAAAAAACATTGTCGAGAGAAGATTTTACCCTTCTGAAGAATGAGTTGCATACTAAGATTATTTAATCTACATATTCAGTTAATTGTCTTCACAAAAATTGTTCGTAATTTTTAGCAAAAATTAGCGTGACAGAATCCGACGGATAGTTTCACGCTACTCTATCTTTTCATTTTATCGGAATAGTTTTATTGTTATACTTTTTTTTAGCTCATTCGGAAAAGTATACTACTTGATGTTTTAGATAATTACGAACTGTAGGTGTTTACCAAATGCAGGCTTTGATTACTTACTAATCCATGTTGTTATATACCTAAGACCAGTAGCTTTTTTTACTTTGAAAGCTGTCAATTGACTGAAATAGTTCCTTTTTGGTAATTTTCTGAATTTTTATTGTTCTTAAGCCGGAACTTCATTTAACCCTGATCACTGAATAAATTCTGCTTGGTATTTGCAAAGTTCTGAAACTATTAGATTTATCATACTTGCTATATCAAATAGTTATTTGTTGTTTTTTAATAATGATTAGTTATTGGTTCGTCTGGAAGAGAATTTACAGAAACTTTTTTTTGTGTGTGTTTTACAGTTTCCTAGCTTAGAAAAACATTATACTCTTCATTAATTTGAGATTCACAACAGTGAAATTTACGGATCTTTTGATTTGACATGAAGCAAAAATCAATAAGCGAGTATGACGTTACCAATTTGGTTGGAGTATCAAAATTTTTAAGTTGGATTCCACTATTTGACTGGAATGTGTTCAACAAGTTTTGGTCTTGGTTTCGAAAAAGATCTGCATTATTTATAATTACGAAAAAGTCAAATTTCATCTGATATTTCGTATATCGCCATTATTTCTGATTTTACATAATTATTTTTTGCAACCCAAACACTAGAAAACTCTTTTTGCTCCGTAATACAAGCGTTCTGGGAAAAAATGTCAAAAAGAGTAATTTCAACGCTTTGTTATAAAAATTAGCAGTGCTATTTTCGCGCACGCTAGTTCTAAATTCACTTAATTTTAGAGCTGAAGACGCCATTAAAAAAAAGTTGCGCTATTTTTTTATATCGATTAATTTTTTATGCTTTCGGAATTACAAAGAAGGGCAAAGGACGCCACAAACTAAATCTAAGTGATGGCCATTTAATGGTTAAGGGTACAACCAAAACTGAGGGAGGGGAGAAGGCGGTCTTCAGCCTTCTTTTCAACCCTCAGCACGTTGCTGCCCTGACCTTTCAAGTGATCTAAGTCAAGTTCGATTACATAGCAGAATTTCAAAAAGTACTTACAATTTGGGCCTTGAGAACCACGTGTAGTAGTCTTGGGGTCTGCATATGGCCACGTATCTAGTCACAGCTATCAGCAACATCATCAAGTATGTAGTCCGGCTGCCAAGAGTGTAGCCTGAAAGAGGATTATCAAAACTAGGGACAGATTTAGGGGGCGGGGGGATTTTGCGGGCGCTTTTTCTCTTAGGGACTCAACCCCCCTACCAAAAAAAAGTTATCCTTCGGTATTACTTTAAGACATCCAATTTACGTCGACGAACCCTAAAATTTTTCTAAATATATACCAGTTGAGAAGGGTAGAGCGCGCCAAAAAAGCGCAATTTTTCGGCCAAAGATTTCAAAAAATGTCCAAAAACGAATTTTTTTGATCTGTTTTTTTTTTAAGTACGCCTGCGGCAAAAAATGTTTGGTCAAAATTGGGTCTTTCTAGTGTTCTGGGAGTTCTCGAAAAATCAATTTGGTTAACCTAAAAATAGATCTACAAAATTTTTTCAAAATCCGCCCCCTCGAGAAAATCCTAGATCCACCCCTGATCAAAACCATTTGCAAATGAGTGAAGTCGGATCGTCAACAATCTACTGAGGCCAAACTAGGTAAGACCTATAGTTGAGGCCAATAGTTAAAACCTTTTAAACAGTAACAATTCATACGTTTGGGTGAAAGTGATTGTCCATTCTACTCAATTTTAGCATTTTTTGGAAGTAAAGCTGCCTCAAAAAGAAAAGGCTGCTTATGTCAGAAAACTGTACCGGACCGGTACAAAATTATGTTTTATGCACAAATTTCTTGAAGATTTTAAGAACTGACCGAGTCTGATTTGTACTCACCCCCATAAACAATAGAGCAGCTGATTTCCATGAGAGCCCTGCTTGAATCTATGGGCTGATTGACCATGAAGGCAGTGCCCGTTAATAACATCAGTGCACTTAGGAAGTCAAGAACAGCCATGCTGATGATGAGCAGGTCACTCTGGTTGAACTCGGAGGTTTCCCGGAAGAATTTGACGACATAGGAGGAAGCGATGACGAAGTTAAGCAGAGTCTAAACTTTAATTTGGAAACTAATTTATTGATATAAAAGTTTAGTACAAACAAGTCCAACTGTATTTATGCAAGTATTTATTAGAACACGTGAATGCTGTTTGTTCAAATCTTCAACATGACTTTTCATCATTTCATAAAAATGCAATTCTTTCCATGTGTATAACTTCTATTTATTTTTCAAAAATAGCAAAGTATCTGTCCTCTTTACGGAAAAAAGTAGCCTTATCATTCGAATTTAAGAAAACTTAAACTTTCCTAGATCAGTTTTAATGGCTAGGCTTTAAATCAATACACCATTCTTGATAGTTCGTTTAATGAAAGACATGTAGAGCCACGTTAAGGTACCAGGTTTGAGAAACATTTTTTTATAGTTTTGATAATAAATTTTTCAATGAGTTTTGTATTAAATAATTCACAACCGTTTGTTGGTCTTAAAACCACTAAATTTTCAATAACATTAAAAAAAATTGTTAGATGTTCTGGCCATGTTTTTTGCTGTGTTTTCCAACGCCTAAACAAAAAAATCAATTATTTTATTCCGTTTTATTTCTAAGTTACTTTTAATTTTGTGCAAGTAATATCTTTTGCTAGATAAAATAGATTTTTTGACTGATATTTTGATTCTTGGGATATGATCTACAAGTAGATTTGCTATTTATTTGGTATGGATTTTTGAGTTTTCGTATTTCATTTTTATGATGTTTTATGATGGAAGAAAGTCTTGCAAATTTCGACCTTGTTTTCTAAGTACTATTTTAATAAACATCTTTTTTGACAAAATTTTTACCTTTTTACTAACACATTCCTTTTCTCCTTTGTCATTTTTAATTTTGCTTTGTTTCAGTGTTATATTTTTGTTAAACGAATTTGAACCAAGCTCCAAAAAAAAGATTTCATCAAAAGAAAACTGTGGATTAATTTTTGAGTTCAACTAAGGCTATGTATACTAAAAAAATTTAAATCTAATCAAATTTTAATCTAATCAAATTTAAATCCAATCAAAATTATCCATCTTTGCAATTGTAAGCCGATTTACATCTAAAAACAAAGAAATTGATAGTTTGATAGTGCTCTTTAGGATAAACAAAGAAAGATTGATGACTTACACGCATTTAGGTATTGAATTAACAAAATCCCATACACAAGCCTTATGTAGTGGGCAAAAGTTATTGAACACTGTTTTACAATCTAGTTTGAAAAAATGTCTCGGGTTTCAATTAAACAGCATTCATTCTCTATTTTTTCTGGAGTTTTAGCTACTACATTTTTGTTAAACGAATTTGAACCAAGCTAAAAAAACCATTTCATCGAATGAAAACGGTGGATTGATTTTTGAGTTCAACTAAATCTATGTATACTACAAAAAATCTAATCAAACTTAGTTTTGGTCTAATCGCTTAAAGCTTCTAAGCATCTGGAATTTTTCTTCTTCTATACTTCCATTGAAATTCAATCATTTTGTTGAGAACGAAATACCATGATAGTCTGATAGGTCGTTGGGTTTTATTTCAAACAACCTTTCAATATTCGTCGATGCGGTTTGCCTTGTAACTGTTTTTGTTTATTTCAACACTAGACTTTCTACTAATTGTGTGTTCATCAATTTTCTATTATGACTTGTTGTTTCTGAAATTTTGATGTTCAAGTAACCGCATAGAATATGCTTGTATCTCGCTTGGGTTGCTAGCCTTGTCATAAGTTCCTGTAAATTATCTAAAGTATCTTCAAAACCAAAGTTAGGACTCGGGTAAGTAGTTGAAATTAAAAAGTAGCTCACAATATTTATGGTTTCTTAGCTCATTTTTTTGAAATTCTTACTCCTCTCTATCGACTTCAGCGCACTGAAAATAAATCAAATATTTTTCAGCATTTCTTTCAAAAATTATCATACAATTTTTGGTGCAGTTGAAAAATTTTGACTGAAGAATGGCGAGAAAGGGCTCAATAAGGCTTCCGAAAAAAACTTTCGGAATTGAGTTTGATATGTATCTGCTGAATCCGATTCTTTATTTTTTTGGCTGGCTGACCCAAGAACCATTCTAAAAAGGTCTTTGCAGCTAATAAATAATAATTACGATACGCAAGGGCGCGGCAAAAACTGAAACTTACTGTTTTGAATCCCACATAAAGTGATAAAAGCCATATGCCTCAAAACCTCCATGCAGCAAGTCACTTTTTCTTCAAAGAAGCAAATCTTTCTCTTAAATTTACGCTATCTTCATTTAGTTAGAGATTCTGAGGAGTCGCATATTCATAATAGACCTGAAAGCACCAATTTTTTTTCAAAAGCCGCCCTACGAAAACTTTGTTCGCACCAAATAGCAGGGTAAAAAATTTCAGTTCAAATCGGGTAAAAATTATGATCCCACTAACCCCGAATGAGCCGGAAATGAGTAGGAGATAGAAGACTGCATTGAGGGTGATGCACGTCTCCATGTCTATGAGTGGGATTTTGAACGGCAGAATGTCATCCAGCGTGTGGATTCTTCTCATGAAGGTGGCATTGTTCAGCTGGTCACAGAAAAAGTAGTCCGGAAGTATCATTTTTGTGGAGTCCACTCTGTGTGTGAACAGTTATTTTATCGCAAGTTTTTGTCTAACGGGACATGGAACCACTTTTCAAGCTTTGTAATTTTCCCAATTAATTCAGTTTGATATGCTCAAACGAGGTTATAAGTTGCATTTTACCTTTCTGATTTGTTTTATTGATTTGGAAACTTGGTTGGTTGCTCTCTAGACCCGAAAAATTATATTGAGTTGACATTTACTTTGATAAACTCTTTATGTCTTGTTTATTGTTTCTGAAGCAAACAGACATATCAAATATATTCAAAGAGCGTATATGTCATGAAGTTTGAACTTTTTGTCCTGGGTCCCGAAAATACAACCTCTTATGCATGCTCAAAAATGACCTCGGGAAAAATTTTTGGGATGCTTTTGAAATTTTTGATTATTTCCTCAAAATTGCTAGAACAATTCTTTTTATGCTAGCCATTCTTTTTGCAAACGACAACAAAAATCCACCAAATTCTGATGATATATTTCATTATAATGGATTGTTTTTTTTTCAGGCATGTTTCTGCTATTTATCGATTTTTCACTGCGTTTTGTGCTGAACAGGCTTTTATAGTGCTGATTGCAAATAACCGGATAATTTGAGTTAGGATTAAATTTTAAAACTTGTTTCTCTCAAAATCGGTTAACTTTGTATAACTTTGGGTCAATTTAATAGATTCGAAAATAAGGAGGAAAACAGCGTTATTTTGGGTTGAAACTCCGCAAAATGAGTCGCACCAAAAAACGTTTGCAAAATTCGAGCTGTTTTTGTCATCGTCATTTTTCGACCAAAACTAACTGAATTTGAGAGACACAAGTTGCATTATTTTTTAGTCTTAACTCAGTTTATCCGGTTATTTGAAATCAGCAGTATAGAAGCTTGCTCAGCACAAAATGCAGTCAACAATTGAAAAACCGTAAACAAACCCAGCATAAAGAAATATTTCATCAGATTTTGGCAAACTGTTGCTGTCGTTTGTAAAAAGAATGACTTCAAAAACAAAAAATTTTTCAACTTCTCGACTTGTGATACAACTCAAAAGAAGTAACAAATTTTTTAATGTTTAAAAAAACTAGGTGAACCAAAATTTTTGTGTATATTGGTAAAAACAACTAGTAGCCCAGACAAAGCTGGTAGAGGTACGTGCTTGATATTGAATTAAATTGCTGTACTGATGTCGCACGGAAAATGTGATTTCGAAAATTAGACTTTGTCCAAAACCTTAGTAGTTTCTTTTCTAAAATAATTGAGAAGGGTAAAATTTTGAGATAACCAATTTTCCCACGGAGATAATAACAATTTTCGTAGAACAATTACTGAGTCGCCGCTTCTGCAGGAAGCTTTTCATAACTGCTCAGTTCTTTGAAAGCAAAAACTCAGATTTGAGAGAGGTATTTTTGGAGAAAACGAAAAAAAATCAAAATCATCAGTCAAATATTCCCTCAGAGGCTTTTTCGACGGCTCTAGACAGAGGGGTCAAGTAAGAAGAGACTCTAGAAGTCAAAACAGACACAGAGGGTAGTAGGCGGTTTTTCAATTGATCCACTTTTTGAAAATTTTTAGAAGTTTCTGAGAAAAACTAAAGTTCTTATTAAACTAACTAATGAATATTAAACTAACTTTCTTTAGTGAAAAAAAAAATTCAGCAAACCGATTGGTGAACATATAACTAAAATGAAAAGTGCTGAAAAGAGTCTTCAATTTATGTTTCCCTTTAAACAACCGAAAATAAGGTCTTTCCGCCGATGAAAAATATGCCGAAATAAATTGGGCCGAGGAATTTTTTCTGAGCGAAAAAACAATCAAGAAGGAAACACGAACTCAAGGTAAGTAAAATTACAAATTGTAGGAGTAAATCATACGCTAAAATCAAAATTAACGAAAATTACCCACCGCAAAAAAATGATGTCAAGATGTGACAGCTATGCCGACAACAGATAAGCAGGCAATAAAATAAATGGCTGACGATTTTATTGGAAACAATATTTCACGTTTAAAAAAAGAACCTGGTCAGATTCAAACCCAGTACCTTTGCCGTTTGAGGCATATTTGTTATCTCCAGGCTAAGTTAGCCGGGAGCGCAAAGAAGTTTGAGTTCATTTTGATCTAAGATGCAAGTGATTCAATGATTCTGTTACACAAGTTGTTTAATTCCAGTTTGACAACGCTTGCTTTTTGCAATAGTAATAATACATTAAGCTGATCGCTAGAGTAGAAACTTAAATCGAAAAAAAAATTGATTTGATTTTTTTCCATTTAATTGAGGAGGGTCTGTGGGGTTGGCTAAATGTTTTTAAAGTTTGTTGTGCGATTCAATCATTATCAAATAAGATCAACAAAATAAAAAACATTGAGAAAAAAACTCGACAGAATTAAGGGTGAACAACATCCAGCGCCGAAAATCAACCGAACAGTTTTGGCACCGAAATATATATTTTTTCTACTTTACAAGAATTCTTAACTTGGTCTCAAACGATGTATGCTACCAATACACTGACCATGCGATTACCTCATCAGTGGATATTGAACAGTTGATACTAATTACTATTTACGCATTCTGCGAATTAAGTTATTTACAGGAAAAAAGTCTGGAACTTGGATGCAATACTCCTTATTTGGAAATTTTGAACAATGATGAGTTTGGAGGAGTTTTCAATTCACATATAAACTTTTACCAGTAGAAATTGGCTAGTCGACAACTCAAATTGCTTGTTCATATTTATTAACACTGATGGCATGAAGAAAAAAACAGCAGAAAATAGGGTTATTGAAAACCTGTGTTTGACACTTTGTAACCTGTTGAAATAAACTGAATTATTGAAATTTGAGTTGTAACACTGAGAACTTAAAGAAAAAATAGCAGAGAACAGGGTTATTGAAAAGACGTGTTTGAAACTTTGTAACCTGTTGAATTGAGCTGAATGATTGAAATATGAGTGATGGACCCAATTTGAGCAGGTCGAAGACATTAAAAAGGGACGAGAGTACAATGACTAGTCACTGCATGCTTGAATACTGAGACGAAGCTTTAGAAAGTGCATTAGGAAAAACTAGAAGTAATTCTCGAGTTTGCAAAAGTTCGGCTAGGTCTAGAATTTGATCTGCGACCTACTGCCTTCTAGAGTTTTTGAGTTTCTCGCACTAAATACTCAGCCACGCACGCTTAACTACCGAAAAACACTAGTCGCGAATAAAGCAGCTACATATGCTCATAAGTTGCCACTGCGATACAGCAAAATTGGCACCAAATACAATTAGACGCAAATTTGCAAGTAATAATTTGGACTATAACAAATTGCAAAGCATAAAGGCAGATTATGTATAAGCTATGCTGTTTAAAAATAGCGAGGTATATTGAGTTAGATAATTTCTGAAATTGAGTTTTTTTATGGTTATGTTGTGTTTTCGGTTCATTTAATGAATCAAAAATGCATCAACTGTGTTAACTTATTACTATTCGAATTTCAAAGCACATGCTATCAAAAAGCTGCAAAGGTGCCCCATAAGTGGCACCAATATTTGCGACTTGGGCTAGAAACAAAATTCTTAATAATACACTGAGCTGACGCAAGTGTAATTATAATTTGCAGATATAGATGATTACGGCTAATAGAACATTGAAAAACTGGAGAATTAGTTGTTATATTTTTTTGGCTTCAACCCATTTTTACGAGCAATTCAATCAGAAAAACGGAAAAACTCAGACAATTTTTCTCGACATTTGGACTTTCAAAAATTGCAATTTGATTAAGATCTGAGATATCTTTACCTGACAAGATCCTGAATTTCTATTATTCATATTTGAAAAACCTTAAATTAGTTGAAGGTATTAAATCAGGTAAAAAAATCCAATTCAAAGATACAAAACAAAGGTATCATGGTACGGCAGTTTGCCTAAAAAAAAAGACCCCAGCCACTAAACCAGACAATGTTATGAAGTTCAAACGTCTATCAAGTCTAAGCTGAAACGAGAAGTTTTTTTTCAAATCAGTGTCGCTATTTTTGCCGTGGTGTTATTAAAGGAGCTGAACGAAAAACTGAAGACTAAACAAATTGAAAAATCATAGTAAAATGAGCAAATTGAAAAAAACCGTAGAAAAATTACTAAAAAAACAAAACAGTATAAAAAGTAAATTTTCAAACATTTGTTGAATTATTTTTGCAGTTTTTTGAAATTTTTTCTTCCAAAAAGCCGCTAAACTGCTAAAAAAAGTTTTAACTTATTCCAGTAAAACTAAATTTTACATTTTAATTTAGGCTATTATAAACTTTAAAGCCATTAAACTAGGCTTTTGTACGCCTGCTCGCTCGCTTTTTTTCGCTCGAATTAAGACGAATAACCAAAAATTTCAAACCGGTTTGTCTCGAAATCATGACGATAAGGCCTCAATATGATACATCACTCAACTCTCTCTGATGATTTTTTGGGGTACCTGACTTTGCATGGTAATAAAAAAAAAAGTACTACACACCCGAATACAAAGTTTCTTACCATTTTTCAATTGGTCGGAACAATCACAGCATGAAAATCATAATTATCAGCATTAATCTACCCCGGAGCCATTTTTTACCCAACCGTAACCAAGCCAATAAAAATTGGTTAGACACCCGTTGGGCGGTATAAAAAACTTCAAGCTATGCAAATTTTCAAAATCGAAGTTTAACGAGAAAACCGTAGAAGCATAAGCCAAAAATATTTGAGCCAAAAACACCTTAAAATTTTATATTAACATGAAAGTTTTATTAAATCTTAAAATTTCTATTACCTGCACTATTAGAAAAAGAAAAAACGTTATTCTCAAATGAAAGGAATTGCTGCTTCTTCAAAAAAGGCGCATACAACAAAAACTAAGTCGGCAAAAAATAAGCGGACACAATAATCCGAAAATTGAAATTTTTAAGCAGAATTTATGGTTCAAAAAGGCAGATTCTGCCCGGACTTGAACCCCCAAGCCTTCGACGCCCTAAGAAATAGCGTAATCTATGTGAAAAAAGGCCAAATCACACATTTTAGAATTCATTATGGAGCAAGTTGAAACACGCAACCTTCTCACTTGCGAACAAAGCAAGTCAAAACACCAAACCTTCTCACTTGCGAACAACAAGAAAAAATATAGTACCTGGCTGCATTACCCTTGCCAATCGCAAAGGTAAAGAATGCAATCAATTAACCCACAACGTTGTGTATATAATAACAACATTATT